CAACACAAAACACTGTTGCTGTATGTAGGTTTTATTTTATTTGTTTTTTATCTTATATTTTGGAAATGTACATCCAGCGTTCCTTTTCCTTTAATTTTTTTGGGGGGGCTCCAAGAGAATGGGGCCCTAAGCTACAGCTTGTTTAGCTTATACGTAAATCCGGCTCTGGATATAGGACATAATATAGATCTGAATCTCTGGGGGGAACTTTGGAAGAGCGATCAGAAATTCACATAATGTTACTCCTTGAAAGAGAACTGAAAATGATTTACAGGTGGTATCTTAACTCCGAGCAGACTTGCTAAAATGTATAAGACTGAATCAGATAAGTGCTGAAGAAGCAATGAGACTGAGGGTACATTTTATCATATGTGGTGGACCCGTAAAAGGGTAAAAGAATATTGGGAAATAATTTATAATGAACTGAAAAAAATGTTTAAAAGTACTTTTCGGGGGGAAATCAAAAACAACCCAGAGTCCTTTTTGTTGGGGATAATTCAGATGGAAATTCCCAGGTGTCAAAAAAGGTTATTTATGCATGCCACTACTGCGGCCCATGTTTTGTTAACCCCAAAATGGAAAATGAACGAGGTCCCAGCCAAAGAAGAATGAAACTTAAACTGATGGAATATGTGCATCTTGCAGACTTAAGTTACAGAATAAGAGAACAAGAAGAGTATACGTTTAAAGAAGACTGGAAAATGTTTATTGAATATATGGGTGAAAATTGTGTACATTTGACAACATTGGGAACTTTAAGATAAATTCAACCGCGTAAAATAAGTTTTGATGGATGTAAAAATGGAATACTGAATGTTTTAAGGTAAAGGTAAAGGGGCCTTGACCGTTAGGTCCAGTTGTGGCTGACTCTGGGGTTGCGGCGCTCATCTTGCTTTACATGCCTAGGGAGCCGGTGTACAGCTTCCGGGTCATGTGGCCAACATGACTAAGCCGCTCCTGGCGAACCAGAGCAGTGCACAGAAATGCTGTTTACCTTCCCACTGGAGAGGTACCTATTTATCTACTTGCACTTTGACGTGCTTTCGAACTGCTAGGTTGGCAGGAGCAGGGACCGAGCAACGGGAGCTCACCCTGTCGCGGGGATTCGACCCACTGATCTTCTGATCGGCAAGTCCTAGGCTCTGTGGTTTAACCCACAGTGCCACTCACATCCCACTGAATGTTTTAGTTTGTGTAAAATATGCAGGAAACTATGGCATGCAAACTGAACCATGGAAAGAAGGACACTGACAAACTGGAACGTGTCCAGAGGAGGGCAACCAAAATGGTCAAAGGCCTGGAAGCGATGCCTTATGAGGAACGGCTAAGGGAGCTGGGCATGTTTAGCCTGGAGAAGAGGAGGTTAAGGGGTGATATGATAGCCATGTTCAAATATATAAAAGGATGTCACATAGAGGAGGGAGAAAGGTTGTTTTCTGCTGCTCCAGAGAAGTGGACACGGAGCAATGGATCCAAACTACAAGAAAGAAGATTCCACCTAAACATTAGGAAGAACTTCCTGACAGTAAGAGCTGTTCGACAGTGGAATTTGCTGCCAAGGAGTGTGGTGGAGTCTCCTTCTTTGGAGGTCTTTAAGCAGAGGCTTGACAACCATATGTCAGGAGTGCTCTGATGGTGTTTCCTGCTTGGCAGGGGGTTGGACTCGATGGCCCTTGTGGTCTCTTCCAACTCTATGATTATATGATTCTATGATTCTATGATTCTATGATTCTAAGAAAAGAAGGGAAATCACTGATATGTTAAGGTTGTTTAAAAGAATATTCTAAAATGTAAAAGAGAAAAACTTAATAAAAATTACACAAAAAAAGAAGCTTTGCGGCAATGTCGCCCCTTTTCCTTTAGGAAGGGAAATTTCTTCACTCCACGGTTGCTCAGCTTTTTTTCCTGCTGCTCAGCAACTGAGCAAAAAATAAGGTTGCCCTCGGAATAGGAGGCCTGGTGGCCGGCTGCCGTGGGGCAGAGAGGGGACTCAGATCATATTGCAAGTTAATTAGCCACCAGGCGATCAGCGGCAAATGACGTTCCGCCACAAAGCCACGCGAAAAGAACATTGGTGCATGAATGATTCAGACGGGGATCATGTGTCACCCCTTTATCTGGAGAGCATCCTGGTAAGCCGATCGCCTTTATCAAGCATCTGTGTGTGTCGTTCATGGACTGTAATAAAACACAAAACAGGGACACCGGCTCGCTCAACACCTCTAGCCTGCAAGACCTCGGCCCCATTGCAGGGGACATTTTGGACACGTTGGAAGGAAATAAAAGCACCAGAAGGCTGGGGATCTTGACATCACCAGGGATTTCTGCCAGGGACGCCAGGTTTTGAGAAATTCTCGCACGCCCTCTCCAAATAAAAGGAGACACGTTTGGTGCATCTTTTCTGCTTTGGGACGGAAGCAGGTTCTCACATGGTTGGCTGGCCACCTGTCATGGATGCTTTATTTATTTTTTCTTTATTTTTTTCAAATACCCTCCATTGCTTTTTCGTAACAACAACAAACAAAACAAACACTCCCACATTCGAAAAATTGTATGTCTTCTTATTTACCCTGCGCCTTATTGCGCCCGGACTTCCTTCCATCCCTCCAATGGTTTTCATACCTCAAATCTTTTCTTACAGTTTCTTATTTACACTCCATCCACATCACAAGATTTACATTAATCCTGCTACAGTTTTTAAATTCTTACAACTACTCCATATATATTCAACAAATTTACTCCAATCCTTTTCGAACTTTGCTTCTTTTTGGTTCCGAATCCTATAAGTCAATTTCGCCAGTTCTATGTATTCCAACATTTTTGTCTGCCACTCCATTTTGTTTGCCAATCCAAGTTGGGATTTCTTGGGATTTCCATTTCTGAGCCACTAAGATTCTAGCGGCGGTCGTTGCGTACATGAATAGTTTGATTACAAACTGTCAGGGATGCTTTAGCTGAGATTCCTGCATTGCAGGGAGTTGGACTAGATGACCCTCGGGGTCCCTTCAAACTCTACCATTCTACGATTCTATATCTTAATGCGATGGGGTGAGCTCCCGTTGCTCGGTCCCTGCTCCTGCCCACCTAGCAGTTCGAAAGCACAAAGTGCAAGTAGATAAATAGGTATTGCTCTGGCGGGAAGATAAACGGCATTTCCATGCGCTGCTCTGGTTCACCAGAAGCGGCTTAGTCATGCTGGCCACATGACCTGGAAGCTGTACGCCAGCTCCCTCGGCCAGTAAAGCGAGATGAGCGCTGCCCCCCCAGAGTCGGTCACGGCTGGACCTAATGGTCAGGGGTCCCTTTACCTTTACCCAATGCAAAAACCCTGAGGATCCATGTGGCTCTGTGCTTTGTAACCACATTTTTGCGCCATTGTGGCCCCACGAAACAGTGGATGCCAGAGGTTTTGGGGGTGATACGGAAGGGGGGGCATGTCTTCTTCACCTTCTTCTTCGCTACAATATATCCATTTATTTCCAATTGTCAATGTCAAAAGGGACTAAAATCTATAAAATTCATAGAAAATCAACGTGCCAATTTGCTCAATTTCTCTAGGACTCCATGACACCTCCCCTGTCCTCCATAATCCCTCAAGCAAGGGATTCCCTAATCCTGTCAAATCACTCTGCCAAGCCTTTCCTCCGGGCAATGCCAGGTGGCAGACTATGCATACATGGACCATTGTCTTCTCAGGATGTGCTTATCTGCGCATATCTCCAGCTCTGCATATTCCCCCTCCCTCCTCCATATGTTAATCCTGTGTAACCCAACCTCTTCTTAATGTATTCATGATGTAACTGGGATGTATTTTGCACTGTATTCTGGGACATTGAGGGAAGTTTCAAAAGTTCATGTCACCCCTTTCTCGCTGTTCAATCTCGCCTTGAACCTGTTGCGCAATAAACTTGGATCTTCTGCAGCTTGCTCCTGTCTCCGGCTGAGCTCATTTTCCTCCGCAGGGACCCGCGGACTTAGTCCAACGAGCTGGGTGGCAGAGCAGCCTCGCACCCAGATTTTACCGTAACAGGGGGAAACTCACTCACTGTGGACCATGAGCTGAAATAAAGAGCATGAAATCAACACTCAACTCTGAGCATATTTCAGTACCCTTTCGGAGGTGAGCCCGTTCCTCCCAGTCCTGAGCTCAGGGTGCATATATGTGCAAAGAAAGTGATGTATCTTGAAGACACCGCAGCCTCTGCTGACCTTTCCTTCCAAGAACACCAGACCCCAGGAAAGCGGAGGCATCCCTGGAATTTCTCACGCCTCGGAGATTGGGGTTGCACACAACAATGTTGTTGTTGTTGTTGTTTAGTCATGTCCATCTCTTCGTGACCCCCTGGACCAGAGCACGCCAGGCACTCCTGTCTTCCACTGCCTCCCACAGTTTGGTCAAACTCATGCTGGTAGCTTCGAGAACACTGTCCGACCATCCCGTCCTCTGTTGTCCCCTTCTCCTTGTGCCCTCCATCTTTCCCAACATCAGGGTCTTTTCCAGGGAGGCTTCTCTTCTCATGAGGTGGCCAAAGCACTGGAGCCTCAGCTTCAGGATCTGTCCTTCCAGTGAGCACTCAGGGCTGATTTCCTTCAGAATGGAGAGGTTTGATCTTCCTGCAGTCCATTGGACTCTCAAGACTCTCCTCCAGCACCATAATGCAAAAGCATCCATTCTTCGGCGATCAGCCTTCTTGATCGTCCAGCTCTCACTTCCATACATCACTACTGGGAAAACCATAGCTTTAACTATACGGACCTTTGTTGGCAAGGTGATGTCTCTTTGTTGGCAAGGTGATGTCTCCCCTTCATGGATCACTGCCTTGCCATGGCAAAGGGGCTTGAATAACTCAAGAGAAGCTATGAGCTATGCCTAGCATGGCCACCCAAGATGGACAGGTCATAGTGGAGAGTTTTGACCAAACGTGATCCACCTGGAGCAGGAACCGGCAAGCCACTCCAGTATCCCTGCCAAGAAAACTCCATGGACAAAGACGACAATGTTACAAGTTTCTAAAAATCCCCAGTGCCGTGATCAGGAACTAGGGGGACATCGACCGTCACAAATGCATATTTCCTTGTTCTCCCCTGGACTTCCTTGGCTAAAACGCCTTGGACAGAATAAGAGGTCATGGCAAGACGGAGCTATTGAGTTGCCCAGTGGAGGTAACTGAATCAGCCAGGGCCAAATGTCAGAGGGGGAAAGGGGAGGTAGAGTGACAATAGGATCAAATGCTTCAAATGCAATGGGGGAAGACGACTGCAGCTGAGAGATCCGAACAGACGGAGGGCTGCATCATACCCTCCAACATTTCTCAGTTGAAAATAGGGGCATTTCTCTCTCTCCCCTCTGAAATAAAAAAATTAAGGTCTTATATATATAATAAATGTTCATAAATGTACATTTATGAACATTTATTATATATATGTTGGGTGACCTTGGGCCAGTCACACTTCTTTGAAGTCTCTCAGCCCCACTCACCTCACAGAGTGTTTGTTGTGGGGGAGGAAGGGAAAGCAGAATGTCAGCCGCTTTGAGACTCCTGAAGGGGAGTGAAAGGTGGGATATCAAATCCAAACTCTTCTTCTTCTTCTTCTACCAAGCAAACATGTATATTAATATATGAACCACATGTCTGAAGCAGCACAGGAAAACAGCCCTGGAACCATTTTGACTTCCAAACTGACCAAATGTTTTCTCTGCAAGGAAAATGGAAAAGCCTCCCCATTGTCTTTTCCTTCACAAATCCTGTCTTAAGGGTATGTCTGTGTATGAATAGGGTGAGCCTGTGACCTGGCTCAGGAACTAAGTATTTGTCACTACAAAAGACTGGCCAGGCTCCCCAGGGTATCCGATCAAGTGACCATTAACTGGTAACCTGCCAGACAGGAGGTAAACAAGGCACTCAGATTTCTGTTGTAGACCGCCTCTTCTGTGATGTAGGTATGATGTTTCTGGGGGTGGTCTTGGACTCCAAGGCAGGCAATTTAAAATGTCTATATAAGGGCGGACACACCTTGGTTCTGGGTCCTCCTCCTTTCCTGCGTGTGAAGGGGGAAGCCTGTTGCAACAGTTCAATAAAGATCAGGCTTATGAGCTGCTTTGCTTCTCAATATTCTCTGGTTGGCCTCTGCTATTTTCTCCGACTGATGGAGAACCTACAAAGGACTCTAAGAGGGCTCTTGTGTCCCCCATAAGGGAATAAGGGCAGATTTTCATGTGTTTTCCCACACACACACCTGAGCATTTCCTATCGGAAAGAGGACAATTGCCAACACCCCAACACCAAGGGGACCCAGCACACACACGTCCTCCACCATCCTAAGAAAATCCCTTAATCCCGATTTTATTTTATTGTATAAAAAAGAAAAACCCACACAATTTCTCAACAGATGTGCAGTCTTTCCTCATCTGCTGTGGAAGCACCTTTCTTCCACCCAACGAAACTTGGGAAGGAATTTCACACTTGGTTCAGGCTCAGATTGCTGTAATTTGTGACTTGGGTGAAAAAATGCTATTTTCATCTCCTTGGTAAACAAATGTCTCAGGCATAGTCCTGCGTGGAAGGAGATTGCCTTCCTACCACGTAGGGTTTCTGTGACAAATGGTTTGTGTGTGCCATTGCGCTGCCTTTGGAAATTCTCTAATTTGCTGGGCTCTCCCCCTTTGTAGTACTGAAAACCAAAATGCTAGAATTTGTCAGGCACTCGAGAACGAAACCAAGAGAGAAGGCATGAATTTTCTGCTTATGGTACCAAACCAGTTTGCAGTATGAAGGAGGGGTCTGTAGGCAGTTCAAGGTGGGATACCAGCCCTATGGGATGTGATACATAAGTAGCAGTCAAATACAACATTCCTTGTTTTCCTAGAGTGGACATGCAGGGGGATGTTTGGTCCAGCCGATTGAAAACTTCCTGTTTCCTCCTGGCCTGGAGCATCCTTCCTCTTGCATGTTACTAGAGGTGGGCGTGACCTTACCTGTGCAGGTAACAAAAGCACAAGGCACGCAGCACTCTCTCTCTTTTTGACTTCCTCTCGTCGTTGGAGCAGCTTTTTAACTAGAGCTGCCCTGTTGGCTTTCAGCCAACAGAGGACAAAAAGACTCTCTCCATATGGGATTGACTCACAATCTGAGATAGACTGAATTGTATAATAGTTAGAGGCTTACACGAGCCTGCAGCCAGCTATCTGCTGTGCATGTAAAAAGGGGAATGTAAACTGCTAAGTAAAGGAACTTGCTAACGCAAGTTAGGAAAGATATTAATAAACAATATATCCTATCCCACCATGTAGTCCAGCACCCGGTCCTCACAGTGGCCAACCAGATGCCTGTGGAAGACCAGCAAGCAGGATTTGAGCATCTCATCTCCAGCAGTTTCCAGCATCTGGCATTCAGAAGCATTGCTGTCTCCATCTATGGAGGCTGAGCATAGCATCCTGGCTAGTAATCATCTACAGCCCTCTCCTCCCCCTCCATGAATTTGTCTAATCCTTGGAAGACGTTGGGAAGAACCTGCACATGTTGTGGGGGCTCTCTTAAGAAAGCCCCAAAGGTGGAGGAACAAAACTCACCCCAGACATGCAGAACGCCACTGACCTGTTGGAAAAGACTTTGCTGTAGTTGAAGACTTGGACCTCCAGCATCTCGTTGACGTCGATGCTGCTTGCAACGGGCCATCGGAAGGTCTGCAGGAAGAGAGGGGAGATGTAAGGGTGTGGGATGTGATCCATGAGAGGCAGTCAAGTACAACATTCCTTGTTTTCCTAGAGTGGACATGCAAAGGAATGTTTGGTCCAGCCAGTCGAAACTTCCTGTTCCTCCTAGCTGGAGCATCCTTCCTCTTGCATGTGATAAAAGGTGGGCGTGACCTTACCTGTCCAGGTAACAAAAGGACAAGTCACGCAGCACCCTTCCCTCTTTTTGATTCCCTCCTTCGTTGGACCAGCTTCTAGCTAGGACTGCTCTGCTAGCTCTCAGCTAGCAGAGGCAATAGAATTATTCCCCCATATGGGGTAGATCCACATGTACCTATTTGTAACTAAGTCTGCCTTCAGGATTCCAACTGTGAACTGATGTGAGTAAACTTCTTTTATTGACTTTGAATAAGATTGTGACGTCTTTATTCTTTTAAGAGGGATTTAAGGGAACTTACTAGGAACGTACAATTAAATCTGAGACAGACTGAATTGTGTAATAGTGAGAGGCTCACACGAGCCTGCAACCAGCTATCTGCTGTGCATGTAAAAAGAGGAATGTAACTCTGATAAGTAAAGGAACTTGCTAGTGCAAGTTAGGAAGGATATTAACAAAGAATATATCCTCTCCTGCCACCCTGAATATTCCCAAAAGGATGTCCTGCTTTGGCCTCAGAACTTATAGATGGGGGAAATAGCTCTTCAACCGTGGATTTGAAATTCACTATGTGCTGCAATTCTGGAGAACTGCACAGGGCTGGGTGGGCAGAGATTTGACTTGGTGTAAGGGAGCTCCTTATCTTCCTGCGATGGTTCTTGGTTTTACACACAGCTCATCCAGGGGAAGGACTGAACCAATGGACTATTATTATTAATCAAATTTATATACGCTCTTCATCCAAAGATCTCAGGGTGGTTCGCAAGATAAAAATACAGGATAAAAATGACAGTACTGTAAAGGAGATTCCAGCTAACCCTTAGGAAGAACTTTTTGACATTAATCAAAATACTTTATTGTCACTTGAATAACTTGTATACAGTGAAATTACACCAGCACCCCCCACTCAGCTCTCTTAGTCTTAATTCCCCTTGTTTACTGACACACACACATCAAACCCAAAAGTCAGTTGCCCTGCTGTTATCTTTTCATTCAGCAGCCTAACAGCCCACGGATAGAAGCTGTTCTTTACCCTGTTGGTGCGACTAATCCTGCTTCTATATCTTCTGCCCGAGGGCAGGAGATCAAGAAAGTGCCGGCCAGGGTGTGAATCATCCCTGAGAATTTTCCTCACTCTCCTGAGGCAACCTTCTTCCACTATTTCATCCAGTGGATTCACGGGACAGCCCATAATATCTTGTGCTGTATTCACCACCCTCTGTAGGCACTTCCTATCAGTTGAGGTCAAACCAGCATACCACACCGTGATGCAGTAGGAAAGGACACTTTCTATTGTGGACTGGTAGAAGGAGATCATCAAATGTTGATTGACATCATTCTTCTTCAATACTCTGAGGAGATGGAGTCTCTGTTGGGCTTTCTTAACCACCTTGGTTGTATTGATTTTCCAAGTAAGGTCTTCACTGAGATAAACTCCATAGCTGTTTGGCTCTGGAATGGACTCCCTCAGAAGCGGGTGGACTCTCCTTCCTTGGAGGTTTTTAAGCAGAGGTTGGGTGGACACCTGTCATGGATTCTGGAGCTGTGATCCCTGCTTCGCAGGGGGTTGGACTAGATGACACTAGGGACCCTTCCAATTGAATTTTATGATTCTATGCAGTGTTTTTTTCTGGGGGGGATGCAGGGCTACGCAAACCCCTAAACATTAACAGCCGTCAACAGGTTTACAACACCCACTGAGTCAATCACGCATCTCCTACTACCCTTCTGAGTAATACCCCTCCCCACCCTCTCACTATATATAAGGGTCTGGTGACTTCTGTTTCATTTTTTTTAAAAAAAATAATATTTACTACTTTTCCAAAAAAATTAAACACTAAAAAAGAAACAATACAATACAATACATTAAACTAACCAAACAAAACAAAAACAATAAAATAAATCAAACAATTTCATTATCCCATCTTTCATTCACTTATTTCCACGACCTCCTCACACCTCCCTTTTTGTATTCCACTTCTGTTAATTATTTCAGCAATTCCTTTCCATCTTCCTCTGTTTTCTATCCTATAATTATCTTAGCTCATTCTAACCTTATTTTTTCCTTTAATACTCTATTAATCTATTTATACTTAATTCCTTATAACATTGCTGCTAAAACCACTTAACTTCATTCTGACATCATTCTAACATTCATTGATTTTACAGTATTTCTGTAAATAATCTTTAAATTTTTTCCAATCTTCTTCCACCAACTCTTCTCCCTGGTCTCGGATTCTGCCAGTCATTTCCGCCAATTCCATATAGTCCATCAACTTCATCTGCCATTCTTCCCGGGTGGGTAAATCTTGTGTCTTCCAGTATTTTGCGATGAGTATCCTTGCTGCTGTTGTTGAATACATAAAGAAAGTTCTATCCTTCTTTGTCACCAATTGGCCGATCATGTCCAGGAGAAAGGCCTCTGGTTTCTTCAGGAAGGTATATTTGAATACCTTTTTCATTTCGTTATAAATCATCTCCCAGAATGTCTTAATCCTTGGGCATGTGGTGACTTCTGTTTCAGTGTATCTGAAGAAGTGTGTATGCACACGAAAGCTTATACCAAGAACAAACTTAATTGGTCTCTAAGGTGCTACTGGACAATTTTTTAAATATATTTCGACTGCGTCAGACCAGCATGGCTACCTACCTGAACCCTAAACATTTTGTGAATCTTTGTACTTTTGTCCGTTTACTGTACAGTGGTACCTCGGGTTAAGTACTTAATTCATTCCAGAGGTCTGTACTTAACCTGAAACTGTTCTTGACCTGAAGCACCACTTTAGCTAATGGGGCCTCCTACTGCTGCTGCGCTGCTGGAGCACGATTTCTGTTCTCATCCTGAAGCAAAGTTCTTAACCCGAGGTAATATTTCTGGGTTAGCGGAGTCTGTAACCTGAAGCGTATGTAACCTGAGGTACCACTGTATATATTTTCCCTGATTTGAACTATAAAATGGTGATTTTCTTGAGTCAAAATGAGAGTACAGTGGACGCTTGGGTTGTGAACGTGATCCGTGCGGGAGGCACGTTTGCAACCTGCAGCGCCACATCTGTGCACGCTTGGGTTGCGATTCAGCACTTCTGCGCGTGTGCAAAGTGCAATTTACCAGTTCTGCACATGCGCAAGCGCCGGAAATAACCCATTCCGGGTTTCAGCATATCCGTAACCCGAAAACGCGCAACCTGAAGCGTCTCTGACCCAAGGTATGACTGTACCCCTAGACATTTTTTAGAAAAAAAGCACTGATTCTATGAACCCACACAGGCTGCCCATCCCCTGCCCTCCTCTTCCCCCTCCGCTGCCTGTCTTTTGCTCTCAATTTCCGTGGCCTCTTCGTTCACGCCGCTGGTATTTGCTTGCAAGTCCAGGCGTGCGCCCCACTGGGCGAAGCAATTGCAGAAGGAAGGTTAAGAGACCGTCTCCAATATCTGAGCGCCGTAACGCACGCTCTCCTCCCGTGGGGAACAGCACAGCAAAACGCTGTTGCTGAACCGCAAGCAGTAGATTGGCTGGGAAGGGAGGAAAGCTTCGTGCGGATTCAGTGGGGATGGAAAATTCTCAGGGGAGGGTCAAATGCTAAGGATTCTCCTGCGTTCAAAAGGTTAAGGGCAAGACGATGATTGAATTCCAGGATGAAAAATGAAGGGCTTCTTTTAAAAAATCGTTCCCATGTTTTATACATTGACACCAACCGCGAATCCTTTATTACAGAGTTTCACAAGCAAAGGAGAGGTCCATAAGAACATGATGGAAGTTTATAAAATGGCGTGGCATGGAGAAAGTGAATAAAGGCCCCCCCCGCAGTCTCTCATAGTTCTAGAACTCATGAACCTTCAATGAAGCTCAACGTTGGAAGATTCAGATCAAAGAAAAGAAAAGCATGGAGTATTTTTGGAGCAGGAACTCGAGGGAACTGAGTTCCCTTACCTTCTTTAAAATTAAATATTTTTTTCCAGTGGCGGGGCTGGAACAGACCCAATGCCTCAGCCAAAAATCCACCTACAGTGGTACCTTGGGTTAAGAACTTATTTCGTTCTGCAGGTCCGTTCTTAACCTGAAACTGTTCTTAGCCTGAGGTACCACTTTAGCTAATGGGGTGTAATGGCCTGGGACTCGGGCTCAGACTCGGAACCAGAGGAGTCTCAGTCCACACCAGATCCTTTGCCTCAGGCATCATCTGAACCAAGTCTGGGGCCTGATTCTGAAGAGCCCCAGTCTGCACAGGTTCCCCTGCAACAAGCACCAGCTGGGCCGAGTCAGGGGCCTGATCCTGCCCTGGCTCCAGATGTGGGGATGACCTCATTGCTTTCAGCTGGGCCATCACTTACAGCTGCTCCACTACCAGTTGGGTCAGGGGAGGCTGAGGCGGCCTCTGGATCTAGTAACCCACCGACGTCTCCTGGGCTGCAGAGACTCAGGTCTGAGAGAAGGAGAGACCTGAGTACTCGCAGGAGGAGTGCTCACCTTCGGGGAAGACAGGGAGGTGAGTCGCTGTGGGATCAGGACCGGCCGCTACCCCGACAAAGATAAAAGGCTGTCGGACCTCGCCCCAGGTCGCGGGAGCAACATTGCTGTTTGCCAGAACCTGCCTGTGACCCTGTACCTGACCTAGCCTGGTTTCCTGCCTTGGCCCTGTCGGACTAACTCTTTGAAGAACCCTTGGATTTGGGACTGGACCTGGACCTCATTACTCGGGTTACCCCCGGGCCCAGCACATGGGGCCTCCCGCTGCTGCCGCGCCATTTCTGTTCTCATCCTGAAGCAAAGTTCTTAACCTGAGGTACTATTTCTGGGTTAGCGGAGTCTGTAACCTGAAGTGTCTGTAACCTGAGGTACCACTGTATATCTGTAATCAATAAAGTTGTGGCCATTTCTCATCCAGATCATTGTCTACTTGAGCTTATTAATCACGTCTTACATTTAGCCACTGCTCAGGGGGCGGGGGCGGCACTGCAATAATCTGGGGGGACTGAGCCCACAATAAACTTCATGGTCCGTTTCCCCACCTTATTTCCAGAAAAAAGCACTGTCTGGAAGTTTCCAGAGCATAGAAAACAGAAGTTGGGGTGTCTCTGCCCAAATGGGGTACAGCTGGGCCACCAGGTGGAAAAGAAGAGAGAGGGAGAGACATGAATATTGATCATGCTTGATGCTTTTTGGTTTATAACATTAGCAGTTTAGGGCAGGCTGACATCAACAGGGAGAAAGCTTTAAATAGCTGGAGTCGCTGAATTCCTTAGGTGCCACCGCCAGCCAACTGAGGCCAATTTTATTTTAAAAACCACGACATTCAAAGAGGAGTAGAGATAACAGATTGGAAAGAAATCAACCTTCTCTGAACCCAAATTAAAAGCAACAACAGACTTTTTCTCTGCAGCATTATTTTTAAGCTTGTATTGGCACTTTTGCAAAGCGGCGAGGCTGTCTGAGTGCAAAGCGAACAGCTTGGGTACTGTAGCACAGATCAGAACACTGGCAGCAAATGCTTGCAAATACTAGAGGCACACATTGCCGGCTGCTTAGCAGGGCTGGGTGACAATTCCTGATGAGAAAATGTTCTCGGGATAAAGTGGTTTTTGTGTGTAATCTGCACAAGAAAACAAGCGTCAACATTGCTCACTGAAAGCATCACCGGGAAAAGCAGCCTGTATAAAGTATACAGATATGAAGAGTAGTTGCTTTGAAGCAACTACTCTATTCCAAACTTAAAAATGGAAAGCGTGATGCTGGTAGTCAACAAAAGAGGTTTAAAGACTGTCTCAAGGCAAAACTAAAAAAAAATGTAGTATAAACACCAACAATTGTTTGACCACAAACTGTTGACCACAACAATTGTTTGACCACAAACTGTTGACCACAACAATTGTTTGACCACACTGTTGGCTCATGTCAACCACAAACTTGACATAAGCCAACAGTGTGACGCGGCAGCTAAAAAAGCCAATGCTATTCTGGGCTGCATCAATAGGAGTATAGCATCTAGATCAAGGGAAGTAATAGTGCCACTGTATTCTGCTCTGGTCAGACCTCACCTGGAGTACTGTGTCCAGTTCTGGGCACCACAGTTCAAGAAGGACACTGACAAACTGGAACGTGTCCAGAGGAGGGCAACCAAAATGGTCAAAGGCCTGGAAACGATGCCTTATGAGGAACGGCTAAGGAGCTGGGCATGTTTAGCCTGGAGAAGAGGAGGTTAAGGGGTGATATGATAGCCATGTTCAAATATAGAAAAGGATGTCACATAGAGGAGGGAGAAAGGTTGTTTTCTGCTGCTCCAGAGAAGCGGACACGGAGCAATGGATCCAAACTACAAGAAAGAAGATTCCACCTAAACATTAGGAAGAACTTCCTGACAGTAAGAGCTGTTCGACAGTGGAATTTGCTGCCAAGGAGTGTGGTGGAGTCTCCTTCTTTGGAGGTCTTTAAGCAGAGGCTTGACAACCATATGTCAGGAGTGCTCTGATGGTGTTTCCTGCTTGGCAGGGGGTTGGACTTGATGGCCCTTATGGTCTCTTCCAACTCTATGATTCTATGATTCTAATTGGGAAACACTGGCCTGTGAGTGCTCCAACTGGAGAACAATCTTTACCAAAGGTGTCATGGGCTTTGAAGACACACGAACTCAGGACCAGTGGCATAGCGTGGGGGGTGCAGGGGGGGCCGGCCGCACCGGGTGCAACATCTGGGGGTTAGGGTTAGGGGGCGCAAATTCACGGGTTAGGGGGCGCAAATTACTTGCCTTGCCCCGGGTGCTGACAACCCACGCTACGCCACTGCTCAGGACGCAAGGGAGAAATGTGCTAAGAGGAAAGAATGCTTGGCAAATTCACACCTTGATCAGCTCCAGCCCAGAAACCAATGTCCCCACTGTGGAAGGACGTGTGGATCCAGAATTGGCCTCCACAGTCACTTACGGACTCATTGTTAAGACTGTGTTCATGGAAGACGATCTTACTTGGCTACGAGGGACCACCAAAGAAGAAGAAGGTATCTGAAGGAGTGTGTATGCACACGAAAGCTTATACCCAGACAAACTTAGTTGGTCTCTAAGGTGAATCCCAAGCTGGAATTAAGATTGCCGGAAGAAATATCAACAACCTCAGATATGCAGATGACACAACCTTGATGGCAGAAAGTGAGGAGGAATTAAAAAACCTTTTATTGAGGGTGAAAGAGGAGAGCGCAAAATATGGTCTGAAGCTCAACATCAAAAAAACGAAGATCATGGCCACTGGTCCCATCACCTCCTGACAAATAGAAGGAGAAGAAATGGAGGCAGTGAGAGATTTTACTTTCTTGGGCTCCATGATCACTGCAGATGGTGACAGCAGCTGCAAAATTAAAAGATGCCTGCTTCTTGGGAGAAAAGCAATGACAAACCTAGACAGCATCTTAAAAAGCAGAGACATCACCACCTTGCCAACAAAGGTCCTTATAATCAAAGCTCTGATTTTCCCAGTAGTGATGTATGGAAGTGAGAGCTGGACCATAAAGAAGGCTGATCGCCGAAGAACTGATGCTTTTGAATTATGGTGCTGGAGGAGACTCTTGAGAGTCCCATGGACTGCAAGAAGATCAAACGTCTCCATTCTGAAGAAAATCAGCCCTGAGTGCTCACTGGAAAGACAGATCCTGAAGCTGAGGCTCCAAGACTTTGGCCACCTCATGAGAAGAGAAGACTCCCTGGAAAAGACCCTGATCTTGGGGAAGATGGAGGGCACAAGGAGAAGGGGACGACAGAGGATGAGATAGCTGGACAGTGTTCTTGAAGCTACCAGCATGAGTTTGACCAAACTGCAGGAGGCAGTGGAAGACAGTAGTGCCTGGCGTGCTCTGGTCCATGGGGTCACGAAGAGTCGGACATGACTAAACGACTCAACAACAACAACAACAGAATGTGTGCTTTTATTTAAAATGCATCTCTGGGTTATTTGTGGGGCCTGCCTGGCGTTTTTACATGAGTAGAATGTGTGCTTTTATTTAAAATGCATCTCTGGGTTATTTGTGGGGCACAGGAATTTGTTCCTTTTTTCCCTTCAAATTATAGTCCGGCCCCCCACAAGGTCTGAGGGACAGTAGACTGGCCCCCTGCTGAAAATGTTTGCTGACCCCTGCTTTAGTCCACCACTCTAACCACTACACCATACTGTCTTAGCATATTAGAGAAAAATATGGGTGTACAGCCCTCATTGGTTCTGATTAACATCCTCTCATTCCGGCATCTTGTGCCCTCCTGGACTTTGTAAGATCCCGGCCGTCAAAACCTCCCATCTAACAAACTTGACCTTACAGAATTTCATTGATTGTTGCCTATTATCACACAGAGGCTATTAAGAGGAAGCATGAAATGTGAGTTTTGCTCTCCTTTGAGCTTCGCTCGTGGTAGTTAACCTCTCTCTGTGTTGCAGCTAATTAGCTGCTTTTGCTCAATGTTTGCAAAACAGGGGTGAGTAAAACAAAATTTTGCCTACTCACACTTCTGCATCTCAGTAATCTTTCTCGTAAGGAGCAAGGGAGGGGGGAAAACAAAAACCATGGCTTTGATAAAAACATAGCATAAGAACTTAAGACCAGTCTGCCAGCGGCCTATCTGGGCCATCACCCTCTTCTCACAGTGGCCAACGAGCTGCCTGTGGGAAAGCAGCAAGGCGTGGTTTCAAACACAAGACCCTTCTCCTCTCCTGGGGTTTCCAGCAACTAGGATTCAGAAGCATTGTGGAGGCAGAGCATGTGGGAATGTTCAGGGTGGCAGGAGAGGATATATTGTTTATTAATATCTTTCCTAACTTGCACTAGCAAGTCCCTTTACTTAGCAGAGTTTACATTCCCCTTTTTACATGCACAGCAGATAGCTGGTTGCAGGTTCGTGTGAGCCTCTCACTATTATGCAATTCAGTCTGTCTCAGATTGAATTGTACATTCCTGGTAAGTTCCCTTGAATCCCTCTTAAAAGAATAAAGACGTCACAATCTTATTCAAAGTCAATAAAATAAGTTTACTCACATCAGTTCACAGTTGGATTCCTGAAGGTAGACTTAGTTGCAAATATGTACATGTGGATCTACCCCATATGGGGGAATAATCCTATTGCCTCTGCTAGCTGAGATCTAGCAGAGCAGTCCTAGCTAGAAGCTGGTCAAACGAAGAAGTCAAAAAGAGAGAGGTGTGCTGCGTGATTTGTCCTTTTGTTACCTGGACAGGTAAGGTCACGCCCACCTTCTATCACATGCAAAAGGAAGGATGCTCCAGCCAGGAGGAACAGGAAGTTTTGACTGGCTGGACCAAACATCCCCTTGCATGTCCACTCTAGGAAAACAAGGAATGTTGTACTTGACTGCTCCCAGTGGTTTACATCCCACAGAGCATAGCTGTCCTGGCTAGTAGCTGTTTATAACCTTCGCCTCCTCCATTAATTTGTCTCATCCTCTTTTAAAGCCATCAAGGTTGGTAGCCATCACTCCTTCATGGAGTTCCACAGTTTAACTCTCCACTGCAGGAAGAACTTATCTGTCCTGAATCTTTCAACATTTGACTTCCATGAGTATCCATGCCAGGCATAATTCTATAAATTCCTATCATGTTGTCTGCTACTCGCCTTTTCTCTAAATTAGGTAAAGGGTAAAGGGACCCCTGACCATTAGGTCCAGTCGTGGCCGACTCTGGGGTTGCGGCGCTCATCTCGCTTTATTGGCCGAGGGAGCTGGCGTACAGCTTCCGGGTCATGTGGCCAGCATGACTAAGCCACTTCTGGCGAACCAGAGCAGCGCACGGAAACGCCGTTTACCTTCCCGCCAGAGCAATACCTATTTATCTACTTGCACTGGCATGCTTTCGAACTGCTAGGTGGGCAGGAGCTGGGACCGAACAATGGGAGCTCACCCCGTCGTGGCGATTCAAACCGCTGACCTTCTGATCGGCAAGTCCTAGGCTCTGTGGTTTAACCCACAGCGCCACCCGCGTCCCTTTTTCTCTGAATTACAAAGTACCAAAAGCTGCCAATTTCCTTCATATGGGAGTCGCATCACCCCTTGATTTTTCCTGAACCTTTTTTGGTTGAGGCTACCCGAACTGTACACCGTATTCCAAACACAGCAGCGCTATAGATTTGTACAGCAGAATTATTGGCAGAAAAGCAAATTAGCTAGCAAAAACAGTATCGGAGGTAATACTCTTATGGCGCTGAACTGAATGAAGATGTGGGGAAATAAATTCTTGTTTGTGGAAATGTTTTGAGTTTTTCTGGAAAAAACGCACGACATGAAATTTAAACAAACATAAGCTGGAGCTTAAATAGTTTGTTGCTAAGAGACTGGGGTTCAGAAACCCTATTGATGTGAGGTTTTCCTGCAGTCAGTTTGCAGGCTTACGTGCCGTCCTCTTCCATGATCAAATATCTCGTGGGAATTTCGTTCATCCTCCCAGTCTCTGTTCTCAGCAGGAACCGAATCTCTCTTCTCAATGCGTTTGCTGAGCTTGCAAGTTGTTTGTTGTGAAGGGGAAAGTGGAGCAAGACTTTAGGAGCTGAGGTTGGCTTGGACCCAGGGCTCTCCCCCCCCTTTGCTGCTTTCCTGTAATCACACTCAAGGAAGAGAAGTTGAATCTGTCATTGCCTGGAGTGTGAACAGCAAGGCTGAGAAGGATCCAAACTGCTGGGAGGATGGGGGATGTGTGTGTGTCCCTCGCAGCACAACTCAGATAAAAACAACCGGTGTGGTGTAATGGCTGAAGTGCTGGTTTATGACCCGGGAGACCTGGGTTTGAATCCCCACTTGGCCATGATGCGCACTGGGTGTGACCTGGGGGCCTGCCTCACAGGGTTGTTGTGGGGAGGAGGAGGAGGAGACCCATGTTTGTTACCTTGAGCATCTCGGAGGAAAAGGTGGTGAATAAAGCTAACGAAATAAGTAAGTAAATAAAACAAAAAAGTCATTCCCTTCTCAAGTACTCTTGCCAGATTGAATGTACCGTATTTTTCGCTCTATAAGACACACTTTTTCCCCTCCCAAAATTAAGGGGAAATGTGTGTGCGTCTTATGGAGTGAATGCAGGCTCCACGGCTTCAGCGATAGCAACACAAAGCCTCCAGAGCGCAGTGGGACCGCTCCCGCTGCGCTCCGGAGGCTTCGCGTTGCTTTTGCTGAAGCCTGGAGAGTGAGAGGGGTCGATGCGAACCGATCCCTCTTGCTCTCCTGGCTTTGCTTCGCTGGAGAGGTGCTGCGCAGCTTTCCCTCTCTGCGCAGCGCCCTTCAGCGAAGAGGGAGAAGAAATGGAAGGGGCTCCGTTTCTCCTGCCACTTCGCTGAAGGGGCACTGTGCAGAGAGGGAGAGATTTTTTTTTTCTTGTTCTCCCCTTCTAAAACAAGGTGCATCCTACAGTCGGGTGCGTCCTATAGAGCGAAAAATACGGTATCCTCTTCTTTTCTTTGGCGATCCCTCGTAGCCGAGTAAGATTGTCTTCCATAAACATGGTTTTGACAGTGAGTCTGTAAGTGACTGTGGAGGCCAGTTCTGGATCCACACGTCCTTCCACAGTGGGGACATTGTTTTCTGGGTAGGAGTTGAGCCCGATGTGGATTTGCCAAGCGTGCCTTCCTCCGAGCATGTTTCTCCCTTGCATCCTGGGAGACCAGGGTTCAAATGCCCACTTCCATGAAGCTCACCAGGTGAACTTAGGAAAGTGCTTCTTGATGACAACACAAAAGTGAGAGCATGTGGTGAAAGTGCCAGACCGGGCACACCTCTTGTAGTCACTGCCATAGTATGTATGTGATGCATGTATATGATTCATGGGAAAGATCTTCTGGACCACCACCTCGCCTACATGGGGATACAGGGCATAACCTGACAATGGTTGTACTCCTTTATCTCTGGTCAGGGACAGAGTGTGGCGCTAAGGAGGGAGATGTTGTCGCGCCACTCCTTGGTGTGTGGAGTGCCGCAGGGCGCAATCCTCTCCCCGATGCTTTTTAACATCTTTATGTGCCCCCTCACCCAGATTGTCCAGACCTTTGGGCTGGGCCATCACCAATATGCTGACGACACTCAGCTCTATCTGCTGATGGACGGCCACCCTGACTCAGCCCCGGACACACTGACCAGACGCTTGGAAGCTGTGGCTGGGTGGTTTCGTGGGAGCTGACTGAAATTAAATATTTCGATGACAGAGGTCCTCTGGCTGGGTCAGGATGGTCTGGGGATGAGGGACCAACTCCTTTCTCTTGTGGGGGCCCAATTAGTGTCATTGCCTTCCGTTCCGAGTTTGGGTGTAATCCTTGACGCCTCCCTTTCCATGGAGGCGCAAGTTACAGCAACAGCCAAGGCGACATTTTTCCACCTTCGCCGCATCAAGCAGTTGGTCCCTTACCTTTCCCGCCCCGACCTGGCCACAGTGATCCATGCGACGGTCACCTCCAGGCTTGACTACTGTAATTTGCTCTACGCGGGGCTGCCCTTGAAGCTGTCCCAGAAACGCCAGCAGGTGCAGAATGCTGCAGTGAGGCTCCTCACGGGGTCTCTGCCATGGGAGCATATTCACCCAGTGCTTTTCCAGCTGCACTGGCTCCCGGTGGAGTACAGGGTCAGATTTAAGGTGCTGGTTTTGACCTTTAAAGCCCTTCACGGCCTAGGACCCTCGTACCTATGGGACCGCCTCTCCCGGTATGCCCCATGGAGAGCCTCAAGGTCCATAAATAGCAACACCCTAGATGTCCCAGGCCCTAAGGAAGTCAGATTAGCCTCAACCAGAGCCAGGGCCTTTTCAGTGCTGGCTCCTGCCTGGTGGAATGCTCTGCCTCGTGAGACCAGGGCCCTGCGGGATCTGATTTCTTTCCGCAGGGCCTGTAAGATAGAGTTGTTCCGCCTGGCCTTTGGCTTAGAATCAACTTGATTCCCTCCCCCACCTTCCCTTTTTCCTTTCTCCTTCTGTGATGGAACCCCTATCTGGGGACTTCCCTGGCTTTTTTCTGGCCCATGTAGGACCAGTCTGGATAGTTGGCCTTGGTGAAGACTTGACGTTTTCATCCCCAAAAAAGTTTTTTTATTTGAGTTCCTACTGAAATGAGGCTTCATTTTAATGTTTTATTGTTGTATTTTAATCTTGTTTTTAAATTGTATTTCAGTCAATTGTTTTTATACCTGGTGTCAGCCACCCTGAGCCCGGTCTTGGCAGGGGAGGGCGGGGTATAAATAAAATTTATTATTATTATTATTATTATTATTATTATTATTATTATTATTACTGTACTTTGTTGTTGTTTAGTCGTTTAGTCATGTCCGACTCTTCGTGACCCCATGGACCAGAGCACACCAGGATTTACTGTACTTAGAACCCAAGGCTCATCTAGTTCAAGCCCTGGCAATGAAGGAGTTGGCATTTCGAAAGCAGGGAATCTAGAGTCAGGAGCTGACACAGCCAGAAGAACTCATTCATCATAAGCTAAGGAGGAGGAGATGTAGACTTCAGAGGTGGCAGAAACTCCACTCCAGTTATCCCAAGAGACCAGGGCAGCTTTCAGTGGTAATTACATCTTTTCCAAAGCCATTTATGAGTTCTTCATGAATTATTAGGATGATGCAATGCTGTTCACAACCCACTGATTGTGAAACAGCTACACTGCTGGCTGGGAAACATCCATCCATTTCGGAAATGACAGGAATGTTGGCCAGCGATCCTTCAGCATAACACTTCTCTGATCGGATGGGGCCAGAATCTGAAGCCCAGGACAGAGATAATGGAACACGTGCAGGTTGGTGGAGTCATAGAATGAGAGGACTGTAGAGATTGAAGGGACCCCACAGGGTCATCTAGTCCAACCCCCTGCAATGCAGGAATCTCAACTCAAGCATCCAAGACCCAACCTCTGCTAAGAAACCTACCATGACATTAGAACTCAGAGACATTCATGAACAGTAGAAGATTCAGGACAGATTTTTTTTTAAGTCCTTCTTCACATAGCATGTAGGTAAACTATGGAACTCCCTGCCACAGGAGGCAGGGATGGAAGGCTTTGAAAAGAGGATTGGGCAAATTGATTGAGGAGGGGAGGACTATTGGTGACCAGGCTCTGCTTCCATAGTTGGAAGTAGCAATGCTCCACAGGAGGGGAGAGGACTCCTCTGGTCAGATCCTGCGTGCATGGTCCCCAATGGGGCATCTTCTTGGACTAGCTGAGCCATTGGCCTGATCCAGTCGGCTCTCTTTATGATAAGGCACCAGTTGGGTTGGGCTGCCAGGTGTTTCATTCTCTCTCGTGCTGCAGAATATGTGACTACTAGATCACATGCTCTGTGTGTTGATATTCCATTCTTTGGAAATGTGGCAACGGAAGGAACTGGACGCCACTTCCGTCACCTTTATTCTGCTGTTGTGCTCTCTCGGAGGAGAAGAGACATGCCATGACTGCTCTGTTCTTTATTTTGATCCTGTAAATAAATCATTAGGGATGCGGGTGGCGCTGTGGGTTAAACCACAGAGCCTAGGAATTGCCGATCAGAAGGTCGGCGGTTCGAATCCCTGTGACGGGGTGAGCTCCCATTGCTCGGTCCCTGCTGCTGCCCACCTAGCAGTTCGAAAGCACGTCAAAGTGCAAGTAGATAAATAGGTACCGCTCTGGCGGGAAGGTAAACGGTGTTTCCGTGCGCTGCTCTGGTTCGCCAGAAGCGGATTAATCATGCTGGCCACATGACCCGGAAGCTGTACGCCGGCTCCCTCGGCCAATAAAGAGAGATGAGCGCCGCAACCCCAGAGTCGGCCACGACTGGACCTAATGGTCAGGGGTCCCTTTACCTTTAAATAAATCACTAAACTCAGATGCTACATATACTCAGTCTCGGCTTCTGCTAAGCTCTGCTGCTTGCTTGAACATCCAGAGGGGTGAATGCTCTGCTCTGCTGTGCTATGCGTTCTGGATTGGTGCCGGGAGAAGGCCATCTCCCACCCAAAAGCACCAACAATGTCTTCACCTGCCTTCTGCCTTTAAGGATGGGACAGACTTTGGAGCGAGCTCCCACCTACCAGTTTACTCTTATTATTCTGGAACTGTTAACTGCTGCAAGGGCCCCCAAGTCTCTGGTGTTGTGGCTGGCACAGTAGGCTGGCATGGTGCCCTCCTGTCCAAGCCAAAGCACAACACAGAAAAGCAGTTGGCATCTCCCGTGGAAACCACTCCTGCCTCCCAAAAGAGAGGTGCAGGCTTTGCTCTCTGGAAATCAGAATTGTGTTTTGTTTTGTGTTGGGTTTGTTCAGGTCAGACTTTTCAATGTGGGGTGTCAGCCCTTGCTAGTGGAAGCCTGTTGCCAGAAACTGCAGGAGAGGAGAGAGGCTTTTGTGCTCGAATCCTGCTTGCAAGGTTTCCATAATGTGGTAACAGGATGCTGGACTAGGAGGGCTGCTGGCCTGATCCAGCAGGTGATTATGTTCTTACCTCGCAATTGCCAGCCTGAGCATAAGCTAATAAATACTAAGGATGCCTTGCCAACAAAGGTACGTATAGTTAAAGCTATGGTTTTCCCTGTAGTGATGTACAGAAGGGAGAGCTGGACCATAAAGAAGGCTGATTGCCGAAGAATTGATGCTTTTGAATTATGGTGCTGAAGGAGACTCTTGAGAGTCCCATGGACTGCAAGAAGATCAAACCTATCCGTTCTTAAGGAAATCAGCCCTGAGTGCTCACTGGAAGGACAGACCCTGAAGCTGAGGCTCCAGTACTTTGGCCACCTCATGAGAAGAGAAGACTCCCTGGAAAAGACCCTGATGTGGGGAAAGATGGAGGGCACAAAGAGAAGGGGGCAACAGAGGACCAGATGGTTAGACGGTGTTCTCGAAGCTACCAGCATGAGTTTGACTAACTGCGGGAGGCAGTGGAAGACAGGAGTGCCTGGCATGCTCTGGTCCAGGGGGTCACGAAGAGTCGGACACAACTAAACGACTAAACAACAGCAACACTAAGGCTGCCCAAACAGTGAAGCCTAGCAGCTGAAAAACACAACCCAAAGCACTTTTACTTGGAAGGATGAGAAAGACCTACCAATTTCATGTGATGAGGGCTTCAGCCGCAGCCTGCCTTTTCAAAATAAACACGGTCCCTGGGGAAATTATTATTTTTTATTGCAGCCAATTAAAAACAGCCATTAGGATCCTCTTCCTGGGGAGAAACGTGCTCCATTAGCATCGTGTTAATAAAGCAGACTTCTCGTGGCTCACGTTTTTGCTGCCGCGTTCAGAGGCAAGAGTCAAAGTGTTTTGCAGCGAGGTGCAGGACAAAGAACATTTCGGCCTGGAGAAAGCAGCCATGTGAGTTTTCTGAAACTGAAATTTCTCCCCAAAGCAAATGAGGCTGATTTGCAGAGGACAATCTGAACATTTTCTGGTGCCTTAAGACCTGGCAAGGGGAAGCTGAAGCAGTTTCCATCAACTTGGATGCCTTTATACGAGGATGAGACACATTCTGTTGATGGCTATTGATGTCTTCTTGCCAGGATGGCTGTGTTCTGCTTGCATAGCCGGGGGCAACAGTTCTTCTGAATGCCAGTCACTGGAAACTGCAGGAAGACAGAGGGCTCCTGTGCTCGGATCCTGCTTGTGGGTTTCCCATAATGAGCATCTAGTTGGCCACTTTGAGAACTGTGGGAATGTTCAGGGTGGCAGGAGAGGATATATTGTTTATTAATATATTCCCTAACTTGCACTAGCAAGTTCCTTTACTTAGCAGGGTTACATTCCCCTTTTTACATGCACAGCAGATAGCTGGTTGCAGGCTCGTGTGAGCCTCTCACTAGTATACAATTCAGTCTGTCTCAGATTGAGTTCTACGTTCCTGGTAAATCCCCCTGAATCCCTCGTAAAAGAATAAAGATGCACAATCTTATTCAAAGTCAATAAAAGAAGTTTACTCACATCAGTTCACAGTTGGATTCATGAAGGAAGACTTAGCTACAAATATGTACATGTGGATCTATCCCATATGGAGGAATAATCTCAGTGCTCATGAATAATCTCAATCTCATGAATAATCTCAATCTCATGTGGATCTACCCCATATGGAGGAATAATCCCAGTGCTTCTGCTAGCTGAGAGCTAGCAGAGCAGTCCTAGCTAGAAGTTGGTCCAACGAAGAAGGAAGTCAAAAAGAGAAGTGTGCTGCGTGATTTGTCCTTTTGTTACCTGGACAGGTAAGGTCATGCCCACCTTCTATCACATGCAAAAGGAAGGATGTTCCAGCCCAGGAGGAACAGGAAGTTTCAACTGGTTGAACCAAACATCCCCTTGCATGTCCACTCTAGGAAAACAAGGAATGTTGTACTTGACTGCTCCCAGTGGATTACATCCCACAAGAACAGGATTCTGGACAAGATGGATCACTGGCTTGATCCAGCAAGCTGTTCTTCTATTCTTAGTTTGACGTGAGGATTGGCGCTCTTTTTCCCCAGGTTTCTACAATCTGGTTGAACGTTTTGGATGCCAAGGGACAAGGGGAGGCAACAGCAAATGGCAGACATTCTTATTTTTGGCCACCCTGAGCTATGCCCTACAGGTTCCTCGTTATTAACAGGGTGGGGAGAGCCCTCCAAAAGTGTCCAGGTTGCAAGCCATTGGATGGAGGGAAGTCTCAAGCACGGGTCTCCTTGCCTTGGATGTGCTGGGCTGTACTAGAGTCAAAGAATCGTAGCGTTGGAAGGGAACCAAGGGTCATCTAGTCCAACCCCCTTCCCAGCAGGAATAACCCCCTGAAATCCTCCCATCACAGGCTTGACTACTTTTTGCTTTCCCAGAAGGAGGGAGAGGAGACTGAAATTGGCCTCCTGAACGAATGCGAGGCAGCTGCTTCTGTTCATCTGTTCATCCATCTGGGCTTTGGCGGCCTGCTGGTTGCCGGGCAACCCAGAATTGACTTTCAGGAGGCTCTTTTTGGCAGTTGAGCAAACCCAGAAGTCTGTCAAAACTTTGCCGACGGCCTCTCCAAGGCATTCTAGTTTGGAAGGGGAAATCACTCTGCTTGGTAAGAACGGCCCTTCCCTCTCGAAACGCTAAATTACATTGCATATCTTTTGCCATTTCACCACCGCCCAATGAGCAAAAGGAAAAGGTAAAGGTAAAGGGACCCCTGACCATTAGGTCCAGTCGTGGCCGACTCTGGGGTTGCGGTGCTCATCTCGCTTTACTGGCCGAGGGAGCCTGCGTACAGCTTCCGGGTCATGTGGCCAGCAGGACTAAGCCGCTTCTGGCAAACCAGAGCAGCGCACGGAAACGCCATTTACCCTCCCGCCGGAGTGGTACCTATTTATCTACTTGCACTTTGTGCTTTCAGAATGCTGGGTTGGCAGGAGCTGAGACAGAGCAAAGGGAGTTCACCTCGTTGTGGGATTTGAAGTGCCGACCTTCTGATCGGCAAGTCCTAGGCTCTGTGGTTTAACCCGCAGCACCACCCGGGTCTCATCCAATGAGCAAAGGAACCCCTTAATCAAGCATGGCTGGCCAACCACATTTTGCAACAGGCTTTTATCTATTTTATTTTGTCAATTTTGCTCCAGAGGAGAATAACCTGGTTTTCTGTGACTCCATTTTAGCAAACGCCTTTCCTATTGCATGAACTCTGTGTGGTCTCAGATCATCCTAAACACTCTGACACTGAGAGCTTGAACATCAATCTACCAAATGAGACTTCAGAGAAACCTGGGGAATTTTTGGAGGCTGATAAGCAGCAGGAATGGGGGGACGGGATTCTGTTTTCTTTGAGTAACTCAGTTGGGAACAGGAGGATAGCTAGCTTGGGGCAGCTGGGATGTGACCATGTCATTCTGCAAATGTTACCCTTTCTGGCCCAGCAGAAGGACCCCTTAGGGCGCTGGTGCCAATTAAGATGAGCATGCAAGATAAACGAGAATGTGAAAGGGATCAAACACATCATTACAAAAGTCCAATTAAGATTGGGGTTTGGAACAAAGGCAACTTGGATGCTCAGCTCTGATAAATGATAAGGTCATGTGTCTTCCTTTCTGCTTTCATCTGGGTTGTAAGGGATTCTCTGCAAGCCTCACTCAAATCAAAGAAAATGACCTGTGGGCAGTTCAAACTTCCTGGTGGGGTTTTCCCAGCAAGAACCCAGCTGAAATTTTCTTAATTCTACATGGGGCCTTAGTCAAACTTGTAACAAAAAAAATCAGGGGTGACTCACCCTAAGAACTGCAGGTAGTGATGAAAGACTCTATCCGTTTCAGTTTCTTATTTTTCCACTCTTCCAGAGCTCCCCATTTCCACATCTGTCTGTTATTTTTTTAAGAAGTCCTCATCAAAATCCAAACATATTTGTGTGTGCATTTCACTTCGCAAATACCTTTTTGTGTGGAAAATATATGCCTTTTTGCAACGAGATTTCCCCTAACCTAATGCATTTTTGTGCATTGCTTTCACCAACACAAACATTTCTTGCTCAAGTTCTCCCCTAATATGCGCTTTAGGGGGGACACCTGCTTTGCTCGGGGAAACTGTTGCAGATGAAATAAAAAAAAAAATATTAAGGTCTTATATATATAATAAATGTTCATGGATGTGCCAGGCAAACACGTACTTAAATGTATGGGCCACATGTCTGAGGCAGCACAGGAAAACAGCCCTGGAGCCATTTTGGCTCCCAGACTGACCAAATGTTTTCTCTGCAAGGTCAAAGTAAAATGGAAAAGCCTCCCCACTGTCTTTTCATTCACAAAACCTGTCTTAGGGGTATATCTGTGTATGAATAGGGTGAGCCTGTGACCTGGCTCAGGAACTAAGTCTTTGTCACTACAAAAGATTGGCCAGGCTCCCCAGGATATCCAATCAAGAAAGCATTAACAGGTAACCTGCCAGATGGGAGATAAACAATGGACTCAGATTTCCGTTGTAGACCACCCTTTCTGTGATGTAGGTATGATGTGTCTGGGGGGTGGTCTTGAGCTACACTCCAGGGTGGGCAATTTAAAATGTCTATATAAGGGCGGGCACACCTGGGTTCTGGGTCCTCCTCCTTTCCTGCGTGTGAGGGGAGCACCCTGTTGCAACAGATCAATAAAGATCAGGCTTACGAGCTGCTTTGCTTCTCAATATTCTCTGATTGGCCTCTGTTCTTATCCCCAACCGATGGAGAACCAGTAAAGGGCTCTTGTGTCCCCCATAAGGGAATAAGGGCAGATTTTCGTTTACAGTGGTGCCTCCCAAGACGAAATTAATCCGTTCCGCGAGTCTCTTCGTCTTGCGGTTTTTTCGTCCTGCGAAGCACGGCTATTAGCGGCTATTAGCGGCTTAGCGGCTATTAACGGCTTAGCAGCTTAGCGGCTATTAGCGGCTTAGCGGCTTTAAGAAAAACGAACTCGCAAGATGAAACGTCTTGCGAAGCAAGCCCATTGGGAAATTCGTCTTGCGGAACGACTCAAAAAATGGAAAACTCTTTCGTCTTGCGCGTTTTTCGTCTTGCGAGGCATTCGTCTTGCGAGGTACCACTGTATTACACAGAAAATTCAAGAGAGCACAAATTTTCAAAGGGCAGCTGTTGAATTCTGGTTTGCACAGGTCAGTTCAGGGAGTGCAAATTTCTGGCCCCTCATTGCCAGTTCCAGACCACAGCAGGCAAAGTGGCAGTGAGGCAAGGAGCAACCCCCTCGCCTCCTTCAACATTGACACCTCTGCATACAGCTGACTGGCTCTGAAGGTTGCAAGTGAAAAGGAGCTTTTTGCAGCAGAAGAGAATTCGGATCTGCTGCAAAGTGGCAGGAGGGGAGGGAGGGAGAGAGAGAGAAAGAGAAGAGGTGGAAGAAGGGAAAACCAGGGGGACCCGTCTCCTGCAACCTGAGTGTTTTTAAGAACTTGGCAAGCGGCTCTGTGAGGGAGGCCGTTATGTAAGGTTTGCAGCACCGGAGGTTTATGTAACGAGAGGAGGAGAATCAGCTTTGCAGACGCAAAACTCGGCAGAGAAACTTTGGGAGCAACAGCAGAGGAATTAGCCACCATCTCATGGTCAGGGATGGGAGTCTGCTTTGAGTTGACTGTTGCCAAAGGAAGGCTCACTCCAGCCAGAGTGTGTGTGAAGGAATGTTGTTGTTTTTTAAAGAAGTTTCCTTTGGAGCATGTGCCGAGTGCCCATTACTCATCCCCTCCATGGAACCCCAACCGGCCCACACAGATGTGGCATGAAAAAGGGCAGAAGTACAATTCCCTAGAGGGACGCGGGTGGCGCTTTGGGTTAAACCACAGAGCCTAGGACTTGCTGATCAGAAGGTTGGCGGTTCGAATCCCCGCAACAGGGTGAGCTCCCGTTGCTCGGTCCCTGCTCCTGCCAACCTAGCAGTTCGAAAGCACGTCATGTGCAAGTAGATAAATAGGTACCACTCTGGTGGGAAGGTAAACGGCGTTTTCATGCGCTGCTCTGGTTCGCCAGAAGCGGCTTAGTCATGCTGGCCACATGACCCAGAAGCTGTACTCCGGCTCCCTTGGCCAATAAAGCGAGATGAGCGCCGCAACCCCAGTCGGCCACAACTGGACCTAATGGTCAGGGGTCCCTTTACCTTTACAATTCCCTAGCTATTCGAGATGGTAAGAAGGGCTTGCAGGATCAGGCCAGTGGCCTACCCAGTCCAGCATCCTGTTCTCACAGTGGCCAACCAGATGCCCTAATGCAGCGGTTCTCAACCTGTGGGTTCCCAGATGTTGTTGGACTACAACTCCCATCATTCCTGAGCTCTGGCCTTGCTAGCTAGGGGTGATGGGAGTTGTAGTCCAACAACATCTGGGGACCCACAGGTTGAGAAAGGCTGCCCTAATGGGGAAACCCCTTAGGAAAGGCTGTCATGGATACTTTCGCTGAGATTCCTGCATTGCAGGGGGTTGGACTAGATGACCCTCAGGGTCCCTTCCTACTCTACAAATGATTCTGTGACCTGAGCACCAGAGCCCTCTTCCTTCCTGCAGTTTCCAGCAAATGAGGTTCAGACGCGTTGCTGCCTCTGACGGTGGAGCCACAGCAAAGCCCTGCCCTCTACTCCTCCATAAAATTGTCCAATCCACATTTAAAACCATCCAAGTTGTTGGCCATCACTGCCTCCTGTGGCAGGGAGTTCCACAGGTTAACTACACACTGCATAGAAAAGTCCTTTCTTTTCACTGCTCTGGATCTTCAAACATTTAGCTTCCCAAGATGCCCACGAGTGAGTGAGTGAGTGAGTGAGAGAGAGAGAAACAAAAGCTTTCCTCCATCCTCTTTTTCCATGCAAGGCATCATTTTAGAAACCTCTTATTGCAAACTTTTCTACCCAGCTGCTGTGGCTGTGTTGCCTCTTTAGAAACCAGCAGCTGGTTCAAACATTCAGTGCGTTTTCCTCTCCAGCTTTCAAAACCTGTAAAAAAGGGAGGTTTCAAAAATCTGTCTGACACATCATTCCTACATCCGAAGGATGCACACAGATATTTTCTCAGCCCACAGAACATCTGGGCAATCATCCTGCCTGAAAAGTGTCGCGTTGTTTCTTGATATTTCATACTTTCTCCCTTCTGCACATAAACCAAGGATGCAAGGATAGGCCTGAACTTTCTGGGAAATGGGAATATCTTTGCAGGGACTCTCCTGAGCACATTACCTGTGATACACCTGCCAGGTGAATCATCATAGAATCATAGAATTGTAGGGTTGGAAGGGAACCAGAACGGTCATCTAGTTCAATTCAGGTGTGTCCTTACTTCTTCCTAGATGACCCTTTGGATCTCTTCCCATTCTATGATTCTCTGAAATTTGTGCCAAGGGCAAAGGCAGGCATCGTATAACTCGACATTGTTTTCAAAACTGTACACTCTATCCTTCTCACAACAAAGTGGATGGTGCAAGTCAAACGATCCATTCCAGAAAAGAAAAAGCACTGATATTTGCACGCACTATAAAATGAAAATTTTAAAAAAATGGAGAATTGCAAAGAAGAAAACAACTCCCTAGAGATCTCTGTCCCTCTCACCTTCATCCCTACCAAGACACACCTAAGAACGTTTTTAAAGTCCCATCAAAATAAGGGTTGAGTGTTCTTCCCTGGCAAGATGATTCCAAAGTCTCGGTGCCACCACGCCAAAGGCCCCGTCCTGCTCCTGTTTGCCACAAGCCTTGCTTTGGATGGTAAAAGTCAGGCAACCGTCTCACTTGACGGACAGGAGTGAGTGGTTCTTTCGCCATCCTAATTCAAAACGGTTTAGGGTGTTCCAAACCAGCACTTTAAACCATGCCCAACATCCCTTCGTCCAGTGGTTCCCAAATATTTTGGAGCTGCCAGTGGCTTGGTTCCATAAACTCATCCCCGGTGCCCTATACCCTATAAAAAGCATTATTCAGAATAGCAGTTTGCACAACCCACTAAGGAAGAGAACCACATCATAAAATCCAAAACAGTAACAATTAATTGCATGATGATGATCCTATCCAATCAGAACTATCTAGTTTAATTAACTCCGCAAAATGGATTAACTGGTCCAGCGATACCAGCATTTCAAAGTCAGAGAAGGTATTCACACCTCCAGCAACCCCCTGCCACCCCATTGCCTCTTAGCAACCCCCCATTGCCCCCTAGAAAGCTGTACCACCCATTGTGGGATCTTTAGTCTGAGGGAGGGGTGTTCCCAAACACTCCTTGCTGCAGATTTTAAAAACTCTCCTTCCTTACCTCATCAAATGGTGCTTCATCCTCGCAGTTCTCGATCACTCGGGTGTAGAAGGAGAGGCCTGCAGGAGCCAAGGAGAAAAACAGACATTTAGCTTTTGCAGAACAGCACAGAACCCAGAAGAAACGTGTTGATAGTTGGGCCAAGAGGAGCTCTTAGCATCAGTTTGCTTTGCTCCATATACACCCACTGAGCCACTTCGACTGGGGGAACTGGCACTCCTCCAGGCGCCACAGAATACCTCTTCCACTCCATCTTTGAGTGTGGCAGCGCCTACACTGCGGAACTCCCTGCCTTTTGACACGAAGAGGGTGCTTCCCTGTTCCCTTTTCGGTGCCTACTGAAAACATTCTTGTTTAGACAAGTCTACCCAGATATTTATGTTTTAATCTGTATTACGTTTGTTGTATGTATGGATAAAGGGATGCAGGTGGCGCTGTGCGTTAAACCACAGAGCCTAGGACTTGCCGATCAGAAGGTTGGCGGTTCAAATCCCCGTAACGGGGATTAAGTTCAGTCACGGACTACTTGGGGATTGCAGCACTCATCTCGCTTTACTGGCCGAGGGAGCCGGCGTACAGCTTCCGGGTCATGTGGCCAGCATGACTAAGCCGCTTCTAGTGAACCAGAGCAGAGCACGGAAACGCTGTTTACCTTCCCGCTGGAGCAGTACCTTTTTATCTACTTGCACTTTGGCGTGCTTTCGAACTGCTAGGTTGGCAGGAGCAGGGACCGAGCAACGGGAGCTCACCCCGTCATGGGGATTCGAACTGCCAACCTTCTGATCGGCAAGTCCTAGGCTTTTAGCATCTTAGAGACCAACCAAGTCTGGACCATAAAGAAGGCTGATTGCCAAAGAACTGAGGCTTTTGAATTCTGGTGCTGGAGGAGACTCTTGAGAGTCCCATGGACTGCAAGAAGATCAAACCTCTCCATTTTGAAGGAAATCAACCCTGAGTGCTCATTGGGAGGACAGATCCTGAAGCTGAGGCTCCAATACTTTGGCCTCCTCATGAGAAGACTCCCCGGAAAAGGCCCTGATGTTGGGAAAGATGGAGGGCACAAGGAGAAGGGGACGACAGAGGACGAGATGGTGGGACAGTGTTCTCGAAGCTACCAGCATGAGTTTGACCAAACTGTGGGAGGCAGTGGAAGACAGGAGTGCCTGGCGTGCTCTGGTCCATGGGGTCACGAAGAGTTGGACACAACTAAACAACTAAACAACAACAACAAGCCGAGCTGGTCTGACGCAATCGAAACAATTTAAAATTTGTCCAGTAGCACCTTAGAGTCCCACTAATTTGTTCGGGGTATAAGCTTTCGTGTGCATGCACACTTCTTCAGATACAGTGGTACCTCGGGTCCACTGTAATTTGTTCCGGAGGTCCGTTCTTAACCTGAAACTGTTCTTAACCTGAAGCACCACTTTAGCTAATGGGGCTTCCCGCTGCCGCTGCACCGCCGCCACGCGATTTCTGGTCTCATCCTGAAGCAAAGTTCTTAACCCGAGGTACTATTTCTGGGTTAGCGGAGTCTGTAACCTGAAGCGTCTGTAACCTGAGGCATCTGTAACCCGAGGTACCACTGTACACTGAAACAGAAGTCACTAGACCCTTATATATAGTGGGAGGGTGGGGTGGGGTTTTTCTCAGGAGGGTAGTAGAAAATGGATGATTAACTCAATGGGTGATTGACTCAGTGGGTATGGTAAACCTGTTGATGACTGTTAACGACTGCAATTAGTCCTACAGGAAAAAGCAAGGTATATTATGCAGATGACCAAAAATAGCTTTAGCATGTGCAATGAGACAAGAATCCAATATCTCTATTCAGACCAGGTCTCTCCATAGTTTTCAGTTTAGTCAAACATGTTCGGACTCCAACTTGCTGCTCTTTCTCTGGCCCATGTCACTGTCAAACTCAACTCTGGCTTTGTCTACTGAGAAAGGGGGTCCCATCCATTCGCTGTCTCACACCTGAATGGCCCATCACCCAAGTGATCATCTCTCCAGGAAGCCAGACTGGCTTATATTTTAACACTTGCTGCATCCAGGGGTTAGAAGAGTCTGGCACACAGCTTAAAACCCCAAACTCTTACGCACACGCACACACAAATATATATATAACAAAAATAAAGAAATATACAAGAAAGCATATCACCAAGCTTATCCCCTGGATAAGCCCTTAAAAGAGCATTGTTACATATTTATAGATGTCCTCTCTTTTTATTTTTATTAATGTATTAATCTGGCCTGATTGTGACTCATCTATGCAGATAACAGAGAGTGAGGCAATTGTCAAAAGCCTGTGTGGTCTCTGGCATCCATAGAGATATATCTATTTCTAGCAAATAGATGTATGTACTGTATTTTGAGCCATGGTTCATGGAATCATATCCTACCCAACTGCACAGAAACCTTTGCGGTTTTGCTTTAGTCTGTATCAGTCTCAGACTGAACATAACCTTTTCTGAAATTGCACTTGGCCAAATAGGTTGTGTCCCAGCGCAAAAGACCTGATATTGCTTTACATGTATCAGCAATGGGATAATATATATATATATTAGAATAGAAATAGTGTGAATCAATAAATCCCTGTACGGAAATCCCATAAAAACATTTTTTGCATTGCATCTCATCCTTGAACAATTTTATTCTGTGAAACGCCTTGAGACCTCTGGGTATAGGGCAGTATATAAATTCAATAAATAATAAATAATAATAATAATTTGATCAGACTCGTTTGCTATAAATACATCAAAGCCTGGGACCCAAAGAGACGGATGAGTACCATCGAGGTAGCCGGCTGACGAATCAAACCCATCAGACACGCTAAGGAGAGAAGCTGTTAATCCTGGACATGGATATAAATCTGCATTCGCTTTTTACTGCTCCGTCGCAGAGACTCCTCTTTGAACGCAACTTTTACGACATGGCAGGGGATGAGAAACGTTATTAAAATGTATAAGACCATCTACCGCCAAATCGAAATCAGCCCTCTTCTCAAAGCCGTTAGGCTTTGGCGGTTATTAAATGTGTCTGCCTCCAGCCGAAGAAACGTGTTTGCTGCTTCTGCTTTTAATATTGCTGTGAGCTGCCCCCGATTTGCATTCGGGAATGGCGGAGACTTAGAAGGTTCTTCCTGTCGGTGTGGGAATGTTCAGGGTGGCAGGAGAGGATATATTGTTTATTAATATCCTTCCTAACTTGCGCTAGCAAGTTCCTTTACTTAGCAGCGTTACATTCCCCTTTTTGCACACACAGCAGATAGCTGGTTGCAGGCTCGTGTGAGCCTCTCACTATTACACAATTCAGTCTGTCTCAGATTTAATTGTATGTTCCTGGTAAGTTCTCTTGAATCCCTCTTAAAAGAATAAAGACTCCACAATCTTATTCAAAGTCAATAAAAGAAGTTTACTTACATCAGTTCACAGTTGGATCCCTGAAGGCACTTAGGTACAAATATGTAACTAATATGGGAGGATAATCCTAGTGCTGCCGCTAGCTGAGAGCTAGCAGAGCAGTCCTAGCTAAAAGCTGGTCCAATAAACAAGGGAGTCAAAAAGAGGGAAGGGTGCTGTGCGACTCGTCCTTTTGTTACCTGGACAGGTAAGGTCACACCCACCTTCTATTTCAGGCAAAAGGAAGGATGCTCCAGCCAGGAGGAACAAGAAGTTTTGACTGGCTGGACCAAACTTCCTCTTGCATGTCCACTCTAGGAAAACAAGGAATGTTGTATTTGACTGCTCTGTGTTTCACACCCCACAGTATGGAGGAAGGTGAGTTAAATGATCAAAGGTCTGGAAGCCAAGCCTTATGAGGAATGGTTGAAGGAGCTGGGGATGTTTATTTTTTTTTTATAAGATATTTATTAGGATTTTCAAAATATTACAAAATAGAAAAAGAAAAAAGAAAAATACAAAATAAAAATAGTTAAAAACAATTCAGTCTTTCAATCACTTATCTTTCATTTGCTTGTTTCCCAGACCTCCTCACGCCTCCCTTTTCTGTATTCCACTTCAATTGTTAGTTTAGCAAATCCCTCCCCTCTTTGTTTATCCTAGTCTTCGATCTTAAAATATTGTAACATTAAATTTTTACCTATTAATAGTCCATTTTTTCATATTCCCTTATAATATTACAGCTAAAAACCACTTAGTTTCTATCCAACATCATTCTAACATTCATCAATTTTACAATATTTCTGTAAATAGTCTTTGAACTTTTTCCAATCTTCTTCCACCGACTCTTCTCCCTGGTCTCGGATTCTGCCAGTCATTTCCGCCAATTCCATATAGTCCAAGGAGCTGGGGATGTTTAGCCCGGAAAAGAGGAGACTGAGAAGAGACAGGAGAGCCATCTTCAAATATCTCAAGGGCCGTCACATGGAAGAAAATTGTTTTCTCCTGCTCTGGAGGGTAGGACTCGAACCCATGGCTTCAAGTTACGAGGAAGGAGCTTCCAAATAAACGTCAGAAAAAACTTTCTGACAGTAAGAGCTATTGGATAGTGGAATGGTCTCCCTCAGGAGGTTGTGGGCTGTCCTTCCTTGGAGGTTTTTAAGCAGAGGTCGGATGACCACCCATCATGTTTGATCTAGTTGAGAACGCTGCATGGCAGGGGGTTGGACTGGATGAGCCTTGGGGGTCCCTTCATGCTATGATTCTCTCATTCTGTGATTCCATGATTAATTGGAGTAAGTACCCCAATTGGCAGGTGATAACAAATAGGGAGGAGCCGCATGCGCTTTCAGTGCTAGGGGCCAGGATTCCAAATGGCCGCAGTAAATCCAAGAGCAGAAGTCATGGCAATGAAGATAAAGTATAATAAGAAGAAGAATAAGAAGAAGAATTTATTATTTATACCCCACCCATCTGGCTGGGTCTCCCCAGACACTCTGGGCGCCTTCCAACAAAGTATTAAAATACAATGGTCTGTTAAACATTAAAAGCTTCCCTGAACAGGGCTGCCTTCAGATGTCTTCTAAAAGTCTGGTAGTTGTTCTTCTCTTTGACATCTGCTGGGAGTGTGTTCCACAGGGCGGGTGCCACCACCGAGAAGGCCCTCTGCCTGGTTCCCTGTAACTTGGCTTCTCGCAGCGAGGGAACCGCCAGAAGGCCCTCGGCGCTTCGAGTCCAACCCCCTGCCAAGCAGGAAACACCATCAGAGCACTCCTGACATATGGTTGTCAAGCCTCTGCTTAAAGACCTCCAAAGAAGGAGACTCCACCACACTCCTTGGCAGCAAATTCCACTGTCAAACAGCTCTTACTGTCAGGAAGTTCTTCCTAATGTTTAGGTGGAATCTTCTTTCTATGTACGTTTGGATCCATTGCTCCGTGTCCGCTTCTCTGGAGCAGCAGAAAACAACCTTTCTCCCTCCTCTATGTGACATCCTTTTATATATTTGAACATGGCTATCATATCACCCCTTAACCTCCTTTTCTCCAGGCTAAACATGCCCAGCTCTCTTAGCCGTTCCTCATAAGGCATCGTTTCCAGGCCTTTGACCATTTTGGTTGCCCTCCTCTGGACACGTTCCAGTTTGTCAGTGTCCTTCTTGAACTGTGGTGCCCAGAACTGGACACAGTACTCCAGGTGAGGTCTGACCAGAGCAGAATACAGTGGCACTATTACTTCCCTTGATCTAGATGCTATACTCCTATTGATGCAGCCCAGAATTGCATTGGCTTTTTAGCTGCCGCGTCACACTGTTGGCTCATGTCAAGTTTGTGGTCAACCAAGACTCCTAGATCCTTTTCACATGTACTGCTCTCAAGCCAGGTGTCTCCCATCTTGTATTTGTGCCTCTCATTTTTTTGCCCAAGTGCAATACTTTACATTTCCCCTGTTAAAATTCATCTTGTTTGTTTTGGCCCAGTTCTTTAATCTGTCAAGGTCGTTTTGAAGTGTGATCCTGTCCTCTGGGGTGTTAGCCACCCCTCCCAGTTTGGTGTCATCTGCAAATTTGATCAGGATATCCTTGAGTCCATCATCCAAGTCGTTGATAAAGATGTTGAATAAGACCGGGCCCAAGACAGAACTCTGTGGCACCCCACTAGTCACTCTTCTCCAGGATGAAGAGGAACCATTGATGAGCACCCTTTGGGTTCGGTCAGTCAGCCAGTTACAAATCCACTGAGTGGTAGCATAGTCAAGACTGCATTTTACCAGCTTCTTTACAAGAATATCATGGGGCACCTTGTCAAATGCCTTGCTGAAATCAAGGTAGGCTACATCCACTGCGTTCCCTTCATCTACCAGGCTTGTAATTCTGTCAAAAACGAGATCAGGTTAGTCTGACATGACTTATTTTTCAGAAATCCATGCTGACTATTGGTGATCACAGCATTCCTTTCTAGGTGCTCACAGACTGTTTGCTTAATGATCTGCTCCAGATCATTATTGATGTCAGACTGACTGGGCAGTAATTATTTGGGTCCTCTCTTTTCCCCTTTTTGAAAATAGGGACAACATTTGCCCTCCTCCAGTCTGCCGGGACTTCGCCTGTTCTCCAGGAATTCTCAAAGATGACTGCCAGTGGTTCTGAGATCACATCTGCCAGTTCTTTTAATACTCTTGGATGCAGTTCATCTGGCCCTGGAGACTTGAATACATCTAAACTAGCCAAGTATTCTTGTACTATCTCCTTAGTTATTCTGGGCTGTGTTTCCTTTGCTGAATCATTTGCTCCAAATTCTTCAGGTCGGGCATTGTTTTCTTTATCGGAGAAGCCTGAGGCAAAGAAGGCATTGAGGAGTTCAGCCCTTTCTGTGTCCCCTGTTTGCATTTCACCATCTTCTCCTCTGAGTGACCCCACTGTTTCTTTGTTCTTCCTTTTGCTACGAACATACCCATAAAAGCCTTTTTTGTTGCTTTTAACCTCTCTAGCAAGCCTGAGTTCATTCTGTGCTTTAGCTTTTCTGACTTTGTGTCTACACGTGCTGGCTATTTGTTTGAATTCCTCTTTGGTGGTTTCCCCCCTTTTCCAATTTTTGTACACATCCTTTTTTAATCTTAACTCAGTTAAAAGTTCTTTAGATAGCCACCCTGGCTTCTTTAGGCACCTTCCATGTTTCCGTCTCATTGGTATTGCCTGACGTTGTGCTTTACTATCTCCCTCTTAACAAACTCCCAGCCATCATGAACTCCCTTTCCTTTTAGTATTACTGTCCATGGGATCTCACCCAGCAGTTCCCTAAGTTTTATGAAGTCGGCTTTCTTAAAGTCAAGAAATTGAGTCCTAGTATGCTTGGCTGCTCCTTTCCGCTGTATAGTAAACTTCAGAAGAGCATGATCACTCGCGCCTAATGATCCTTCTACTTCTACCCCACTAACCAGGTCATCAACATTGGTTAGGAAATGGTGGGACAGTGTTCTCGAAGCTACCATCATGAGTTTGACCCAACTGCGGGAGGCAGTGGAAGACAGGAGGGCCTGGCGTGCTCTGGTCATGAAGAGGCGGACACGACTAAATGACTAAACAACATGCTTATCGCATTTATAAAATTTAAATTTATTGTTGTACATTGTTTGAACTGTTTGTTTTCTTTCTGGGAATGTACCCCCAAGTGTGTTTTATAAGCTGGTCTCCGACTGTAATCAATTATCTTTCTCTTTTCAGTAAATTCATTCATTCATTTATACCCCACCTTTCACCCCGATAGGGATTCAAGGCAACTTACAGATAAAACAGAAAAAGCTAAAGACATAGTCGGGGGAATCATTTAAAAGATCATAATAATAACTTCCAGGGGAAGAACATGGTGGATTGAACGTCTTTTGTTGGCAGACTGCTGACGGAAATAATTACATGAAGATAGATGGTGGTCAGACTTAAATCTTAGCTATTGATCAGGAGATTAACCTCTGGTTCTCTGGAAAAAAAACAGTTTCTGCATCGGGAGACCAAGAAGCTGTCCATTTCTGGGCACCCTGCTGGGGTTAAGCGACTTGTGAGCAGAGGAATCAACATCGTGCCCAAATGTTTAGTGTTTCTAAGGATGTTTTTAAAGGTAAAGGGACCCCTGACCATTAGGTCCAGTCATGACCGACTCTGGGGTTGCGGCGCTCATCTCGATTTATTTATTGTTTTGGGGGAACAGGAGGCGGGCGGGTGTGGGGGACTCCCTGGTCCTGAATGGGGTAACTGTGCCCCTGAAGGACCATCTGCGCAGCCTGGGAGTCATTCTGGACACACAGCTGTCCATGGAGGCACAGGTCAGTTCTGTGTCCATGGCAGCTGTCTATCAGCTCCATCTGGTACGCAGGCTGAGACCCCTTCTGCCCACGGACTGTCTCGCCAGAGTGGTGCATTCTCTGGTTATCTCCCACTTGGACTACTGCAATGCTTTCTATGCGAGGCTCCCTTTGAAGGTGACCCAGAAACTACAACTAATCCAGAATGTGGCAGCTAGACTGGTGACTGGGAGTGGCCACCAAGACCACATAACACCGGTCCTGAGAGATCTGCATTGGCTCCCAGTACATTTCCGAGCACAATTCAAAGTGTTGGTGCTGACCTTGAAAGCCCTAAACAGCCTCGACCCAGTAGACCTGAAGGAGCGTCTCCACCCCGGTCACCTGGGTCCAGCGCCGAGGGCCTTCTGGTGGTTCCCTCACTGCAAGAAGCCAAGTTACAGGGAACCAGACAGAGGGCCTTCTCGGTAGTGGCATCCACCTATGGAACTCCCTCCCACCAGATGTCAAAGAGAAGAACAACTACCAGACTTTTAGAAGACATCTGAAGGCAGCCCTGTTTAGGGAAGCTTTTAATGTTTAACAAACCACTGTATTTTAATACTTTGTTGGAAGCCACCCAGAGTTGCTGGGGAGACCCAGCCAGATGGGCGGGGTATAAATAAATTATTATTATTATTATTATTATTATTATTATTATTATTATTAGAGCAAGCTTATTTTCTCATGCTCTGGAGGGTAGGACCTCAACCAATGACTCAAACCAATGACTTCAAGTTACAAGAAAGGAGATTCCAATTAAACATAAAGGAGAACTTTCTGACAGTAGGAGTTGTTTGTCAGTGGAACGGACTCCCTCGGAAGGTGATGGACTCCCCTTCCTTGGAGGTTTTTAAGCCGAGGTTGGAGGACCACCTGCCAGGATCTCTTCCACTTTGATTCCTGCATTGCAGGGGGGTGGACAAGATGACCCCTGGGATCCCTTCCAGTTCTACAACCCTATGATTGTATTATTCTGTCTACCCAAGAGAAGGGTTTCCTGCTCAGAGCTGCTAAATTTACAGCCGCTGCACAGAGACTGAGATGAGAAGCATGATTGAAGCACCAGTGAAAGTCACATAAATTGAATTTCACTCTTATCTCTGCAGCTTTCTTGTACGACATTATTTAACTTCTTCTGAAATTACTCCGCTGTCTCCTTTTAATCAGAGTTCTATAACAGCCCTGCTGGTTATACGTGATTTCATTTTATTATGTGCAAAACAGAGGCACACAGGGAGAGAGCTCCTAGATTTTTCACTATTTCCGGGTCGGATTCAGTCACATGCCAGGATGCAGAACTAAAGGGCTTTTGGAACACTTGCAAAGCAGACTTGCTGGTCTTTTTTTTTAATGTAAGGGGTGTGGTGTGGAAATGAACTGGTCAGTGTGGGACTTGAATCAGTGACATGTAAGGTTCCCCTCACTTCCTCCCAAAGGAGCCCAGGACAGCAAACAAAAAAAGGCAATGTAACTTTAAAAATAAAATTTTAAAAAGCATTAAGAACAGGGGTCCTCAAACTTCTTAAGCAGGGCACCAGTTCACTCTCCCTCAAGCACTGTTGGGGGCCAGACTATAGTTCGAAAAAAAAATATGAACGAATTCCTATGCACACTGCGCATATTTCCCCCCCCCTTTATTTATTTTTTGGGGCCTAAATCCCACACTGTTGTCTTTGTCCATGGAGTTTTGACAAACCTAGACAGCATCTTAAAAAGCAGAGACATTACTTTGCCGACAAAGGTCCCTATAGTTAAAGCTATGGTTTTCCCAGTAGTGATGTACAGAAGTGAGAGCTGGACCATAAAGAAGGCTGATCGCTGAAGAATGGATGCTTTTGAATGATGGTGCTGGAGGAGACTCTGGAGAGTCCCATGGACTGCAAGAATATCAAACCTCTCCATTCTGAAGGAAATCAGCCCTGAGTGCTCACTAGAAGGACAGATCCTGAAGCTGAGGCTCCAAGACTTTGGCCACCTCATGAGAAGAGAAGACTGCCTGGAAAAGACCCTGATGTTGGGAAAGCTGGAGGGCACAAGGAGAAGGGGACGACAGAGGACAAGATGGTGGGACAGTGTTCTCGAAGCTACCAGCATGAGTTTGACCAAACTGCGGGAGGTGGTGGAAGACAGGAGCACCTGGGGTGCTCTGGTCCATGGCGTCACGAAGAGGCGGACACAACTAAACAACTAAACAACAACAAAATCCGTTGAAGTTGAAAAGTGTCCCTGGATACATTGAAAAAAATCTGGTAACCTTAGCTGGAGTGAAAATGCACTTCAGAATATGCCTGTCTTCCACTTTCTATGCCCTGTTCAGAGTCACAAGTGGCGCATTCTGGGCTGCAGCCCTAGGCACGTTTCCCCAGGGGAGTGGTTGATTGATTAATTGATTGATTGATTGATTGATTGGTTGGTTGGTTGGTTGGTTGATTTGGTACCCTGTAATCCCTGCGTGGCTCATGCACAGTCAGAGCAAAACAGCCCCTAACCCACAGGCTATCAAGTCACCTCTCAGACTTCTCTTCTGCAGGCTAACCATATCCAACTCCCTGAAACCTGGGAATGCAGAAAGCTGTCTTGCACAAAGCCAGACCAGGGCGCTCATCTAGGTCAACCCCGCCTGTCTTGACTGATAGGGTTTCAAGCTGGGCTCTCTTGCAGCCCTACTTGCAGATCATGGGGACTGAACCTGAAATGGGTGTGCAAATCTACTTTCTGTGTGCCCTGCAAGCCCTTGGGAACGCAAGAGGTAGGCTTGTGTAGTGGTTAGAGAGCTACCAGGTAACTGGGGATTTTAGCCCTTCCCATTCCCTTAATGGGATGCGGGTGGCACTGTGGGTTAAACCACAGAGCCTTGGACTTGCCGATCAGAAGGTCGGCGGTTCAAATCCCCGCGACGGGGTGAGCTCCCGTTGTTCGGTCCCTGCTCCTGCCAACTTAGCAGTTCGAAAGCACGTCAAAGTGCAAGTAGATAAATAGGTACCACTCTGGCGGGAAGGTAAACGGCATTTCCGTGCGCTGCTCTGGTTCGCCAGAAGCGGCTTAGTCATGCTGGCCACATGACCCGGAAGCTGTACACCGGCTCCCTCGGCCAGTAAAGCGAGATGAGCGCCGCAACCCCAGAGTCATCCGCAACTGGACCTAATGGTCAGGGGTCCCTTTACCTTTACAACATTACTAGAGTGGACATGGAAGGGGAAACCAGTGTTCTGAGAGGCAAGCCTTGCCCACTTCTCTTGCTGGGTTTCGAGAGGTGGGAATTACTTTCAAATTTCTTCTTATGCTGCAAAACAGCACACCAGCTCAATGTATTTGGTGCTGATGGGGGGGTGAAAGCTGATATTGGAGCTCAGCATGAGCTGCTAAGTGCCAGGTCCGAATCTCACGCCACCAGCTGCAAAGTCAGTCTCGCTTGCCCTCAGTACCATCCCCACAGTATGAGGTTGCTGTTAATAATAATAATAATTATAATTATTATTATTATTATTATTATTATACCCTGCCCATCTGGCTCGGTTTCCCCAGCCACTCTGGGTGGCTTCCAACAAAAGATTAAAAACGCAATCAAACATTAAAAGCTTTCCTAAACAGGGCTGCCTTCAGATGTCATCTAAACGTCAGGTAGCTGGTTTTTTCCTTGACATCTGATGGGAGGGCATTCCACAGGGTGGGCGTCACAAGACCGCTGGCCTACCTCACAGGTGAGGATTGCCGATGCAATGGCTGCAGAATTAAAAGCTCAAATTATCGCTCCATGCAGTGGATGCCTGGAGCATCCTGCTAGAGTAGGCGATGTGTTTGGAACATGTGTGCATGCCGTCGAATGCAATAGCTGCGTGATGAAATCTACACACATTCATGCACAAAGGTTATGTTAGAGGAGATGTCACAAGAAAGGGGCAGAGCGGAGGCTGTGCCTGCAGAGAGTCCGAGGTTCTGTGTATTGCACCTCCCCAGGTAAGGCTGGACTCTGAACTTTGGGCTGGAGTTGGAAAAAAGGGACAAGGTGCCTTTTCCTCCTAGTTCTCTTAAGAGTCTAGATTTAAGCACTGGGGAGCAGGGATGCCTCATAAAAGCAAAGAATAATAGACTCTCAGAGCTGGAAGGGACCCTGAAGGACATCTAGCCCAACCCCCTACAATCTCTGGGATCTCAACTAAAGCATCCAAGACAGATGACCATCCAACCTCTGCCGAAGAACCTCCAGGGAAGGGAAGTCCTCAAGCTCCCAAGGGAGTCCGTTCCACTGTCTTACAGCTCTTACTGTCAGAAAGTCCCCCACCCCCGTATGTTTAGTCGGAAGCTCCTTCCTTGTAACATGAAGCCATGAGTTCGAGTCCTACCCCCCCAGAGCAGGAGAAAGCAAGCTTGATCCATCTTCCATGCGATAGCCCTTGAGATATTTGAAGATGGCTCTCATATCTCCACTCAGTCTCCTCTTTTCCAGGCTAAATATACCCAGCTCCTTCAACCGCATCTTACGGGTTTCCAGACTCTTGATCACCTTGGTTGCCCTCCTCTGCACAACTTCCAACTTGTCAACATCCTTCTTAAATTGTGTCTCACCAGTCTGGGCTCTCCTATTTATTTATTTATTTGTTTGCTTCCTTAAAACATTTTTATGGCCCTACCGATCCACCCCGATCCACCAATTAAGATAGCATAGAAAACAACAATAAAACCCCCACAAATATACAAAAAGCAGCACTACAGTCAACACAAAACAGAACAGGGCACTGGTTTTATTGCATTGATCTCCCACGATTGATCTCCTCTCCAAAGAGTCCTCGGTTCACCGCTCTCCTCAGTTAATCTGTACAACGACCCTGAAAGGTAGGGTAAGTGGCTGCTACTGTCATCCGTGAGCTTCAAGTCTGAGTGGGGATTTGAACCCAGGTCCCCCAGGTCCTAGTCCAGCGCTCTAACCACTACACCACGCTGACTCTTCGCTGGGCCCAAGAGGCCAGTTGGAACTGCTTATTGACTGCAGAAATGAGGGAGGAGGTGATCGGAGGAGTTCCACTAGGACTGGAGAGACTGTCGGAAAAAGGGCAGATTCTGGAGGCTACTAGGGGAAGGGGCGTAAGCTCAGTGGTTGGAGCAGCAGCTCTGAATGCACAAAGATTCAGTCCTCAGTGGCATCTCTGGTTAGGGCAGCAAACTTTTTCAGCAGGGGGCCGGTCCACTGTCCCTCAGACCTTGTGGGGGGCCGGTCTCTATTTTGGAAAAAAATATATGAATGGATTCCTATGCCCCACAAATAACTCAGAGATGCATTTTAAATAAAAGCACAGAATCTACTCATGTAAAAACACCAGGCAGGCCCCACAAATAACCCAGAGATGCAGCTTAAATAAAAGGACACATTCTACTCATGTAAAAACACGCTGATTCCCAGACCGTCCGTGGGCCGGATTGAGAAGGCGATTGGGCCAGATCCGGCCCCCGGGCCTTAGTTTGCCTACCCATGGGTTAGGGCTGGGAAAAGATCCCAACTTGAAACCTTGGAGACTTTCACTGTTGCCAGCCAGTGCAGAAAAGGAGACAGAGCGACGGTCTGACTCAGTATCAAATCGCTTCCTTCCTCTGTTCCTTGCTTTCTTCGTGAAAGCAGTTTCGGCGGAAGAATCTGAAGCCAGGCAAAGGGGCAGGGCACTCCTGTGTCACCTTCTCCCGCCCCCCAGTTGTGGTACAGGATGCGACCCTGACCTGTCTGCTCCGCAAGGACCGAGCTGGCTCTTTCAGCAACTGTGACTTCCTCCATGTGGGGAGAGCCAGTGTAGTGGTGAGGGTGTCGGACTAGGACCTGGAGGAGAACTGGGTTCGAATCCCATTTGGCTCATAGAGCTCGCTGAGTATCACCTGGGGCTGGCCACTCACTCTCAGCCTAACCTACCTGACAGGGATGTTGTGGAGATTAAATGAGGAATGCAAGCCACCTCGAACTCCACAGAGGAAAAGGTGTGGTAGCAACAGAATGAATACGTAATAAATAAGAGCTTTTGCAAAGGGTCTCACAAGAATCTGGAACAAGTCTTCCCTCCTCCATCTGTCTCAATTTATATAAGCCACTTGGGCAACATGACTACCATACGATAGCTCAGTCAGTAGAGGATGAGAGTTAGGGTCAGGGGTTCAAGCCCCACATTGGGCAAACAAACTCCTGCTTCGCAGAGGGTTGGAATAGATGACTCTGGGGGTCCCTGCTAACTGTGCAATTCTATGATTCTTTGGGAGGATGCGGCCACACAGCCACGACTAACTGGAGCCACCAGAATCCTCCCCTTTAAAAAAAGAAAATCAACTCCAGCCAACTTTGGCATGCAGAAAATGATGGCGGGAGCCCCCCAGTTTCTCAGGTTGGAGCTGCCCCGGTGGCAGACAGGTGAGCAAGCCCCTCTCACCTGGGCCCTGTCCTTGCTCCTGCAGCCCCAAAGCGACTCCCCTGCGGAGAACTTTTTGCTGCCATCAGAGGACCCCCGACCCTGTGCCTGCAGCCCAGCGCCGCCTACGTACCAGCCGCCCTCCCCACATGCGGACATACCTCTGAAAGCTACTTTGGCAATCCTGTCTCCTTTGCCCCGCAGGTCAGTGACCGTCTTCAGGTGCACGACCAAAGCCATGTTGCCGGTGGGGATGCTGAGGCAGCTCAGTAGCTACGACAGACTGGCAGGGTTGGACAGCGGCGTCTTGATCCCGCAGCCGGGCTTTTCCTGGGGGCTCAGAGCTCTGCCATCCTCTGCTGGTCTCTGCCGGGCCAGCCAGGGCGCATCTCCTCCGCCGTCGGCGTCTCCTCCCTCCCTGGACCAGGAGGAGAGGCGACCCGGAGCCGTGTGACGGTTCAGCTCCCTCGCGAAGCGCTGCAAGCCGCTCGCTTGCCTCAATTATTCAGGAGCTGTCGCAGAAAAGTACCGCTTGGCTTTCTCTCTCTCTCTCTGGGCACAACCCTCCGGCTGGTATCCTGGCTCACCGGCAAAGCTCTCCTCTGCCCTGGGCCCCCCCGCCGCCACCCCCTCCTCCCTCCTCCATCCTTTGCTACTGCAGCCTCTCCAGCCGCGCGCAACTTGGCGGATGGCTCAGGGATAACGGAGGAGCATCTTCTCCACGCTGCCTTCATCCAGCGGCGGCTGGAGCTACAGCTGGCTGCGGTTAACCGCTTAGCTGCTGCACCCTACGAATAATGGGGGGAGAGGGGGGGTTGTCTGGTCCAGCTGCTGCTGCTGCTTTGGAGATTTCGGGAATGGGGTGCATATATTACAGGCCAGCTCCTTCAGGCTGCAGCACACACAACTAGCTGGCGCGTCGGAGGGAGGAGGGTCCCCAAATTCTGAGGCTGAGCCTTGCTTGCCGTATCGGGGTTTCCCCCCCCTTCAAAGCACAAGGGATTCGCCGCTGCCGGCTTCATTTCTGTAGGCGCCTGGGTCGGTGGGGATGACTTGCTCTTATGGAGCCCTGCGGAATGATCAGGTCCACCCTGGTTTCGCAGCAATGCTTCGAGGGATCCCCCAAGCAGGGCTTAAGTTTCTTATATATTTCATTGCATTTAAATCCCACCTTTCGCCCAAGGAGCTCAAGACGGTATACATATTCCCCGCCCTCCTCATTTAATTCTCTCAACAACCCTGAGAGGCAGTGACTTACACCCGCGCCTTTGATTTATTGGATTTGATTGACATCCTATGCCCTTTTAAAATGTGGGGGTTTTGGGGGGGGATTATTGAGGTTTTTTGAAAAAAAATATATTTATTTTGTGGTTTTATATTTCGAATTTTTCTGTGAACTGCCCTGAGACCTCTGGGTATAGGGCGGTATATACAGTGGTACCTCGGGTTAAGTACTTAATTCGTTCCGGAGGTCCGTGCTTAACCTGAAACTGTTCTTAACCTGAGGCACCACTTTCGCTAATGGGGCCTCCTGCTGCCACCGCGCTGCCGGAGCACGATTTCTGTTCTCGACCTGAAGCAAAGTTCTTAACCTGAAGCACTATTTCTGGGTTAGCGGAGTATGTAGCCTGAAGCGTAAGTAACCTGAAGCGTATGTAACCTGAGGTACCACTGTAAATTCAACAACAACAATAACAACAACACACACAGACACAAGGTCACCCAGTGAGAGCTTCATGGCCAAATGGGATTGCAACTCTGCTCTCTCCCAGTTCCTAGTCGGAACACCCTAACCACTACACCACACTGACTTGTTCCAAGAGCTTCGTAGATGAACCTCCACCTGCAGGAGCAGTCTACCCTTGAGAGCCGGCTGCTCAGAACCAGTAGTGGAGGAGGGGGGAGACTGCTGTCCTCCTGCCCTGCTTGGGGGATTCCCGGAGGTGATCATTGTTGCCTGTTATTTCCATAGCCATTTTCAATACGTAATCAGAGTTTTCTATTCATTTTCTCCTTCACCTTTGCAGCCACGCTGCAGTGTAAGTTGGGCAGAGGGATGGGGACCACAGGCCATTTCTATTGGACTGAACTGTCCAAATTCCCTTTTAAAGCCATCTAACGTAGTGGCCATCATATTCTTATATTCTTAACTTGGTAGTTTGAGTAATCTAAATTGGTTGCATGTTATAGGATGGTGTGCATTAATGCTTCTCCCAGAGACATAGAACCGTAGAACTGTAAAGTCATCTAGTCCAGCCCTGCAATGCAAGAATCGCTGGTAAAGATTCCTGTCCAAAATTATTGTTGTTGTTGTTGTTTATATCCTGCCCATCTGGCTGGGTTTCCCCAGCCACTCTGGGTAGCTCCCAGCAGCATATTAAAAGCACAATAAAACATCAAACATTAAAAACTTCCTGAAACAGGGCTGCCTAAAGATGTCTTCTAAAAGTCAGTTGTTTATTTCCTTGACATCTGAAAGAAGGGCCTTCCACAGGGCGGGCGCCACCACCGAGAAGACCCTCTGCCTGGTTCCCTGTAACCCCACTTCTCGCAATGAGGGAACCGCCAGAAGGCCCTCGGAGCTGGACCTCAGTGTCCTGGCAAAACGATGGAGGTGGAGACGCTCCTTCAGGTATACAGGACCGAGGCCGTTTAGAGCTTTCCACTTAATTAGATGACCTTTTGAGTTTGTGCAGGTAGCAAACAAATTTTAGAGGTGCCCCCACACTTTTCATGTGCCTCGTTGCAGAGGATGACTCAATGCGCCTCCGCTCCAGAGAGCACCTTTTGGAGCTCGCCCCAAATGCTTCTTCATTTTAATGAGGCCGTTCTTCAGCTGGTGGGCCTGGCGACAGATAGGCGAAGGAGCAAGCAGCCTTGGACAGCCGGGAGAACCGTCTCCCTGCTGGGCTGGAGAGGCAATGAGGTGAGCTGGAGCAGCTGGCAGGGGGAGAGACTGAGGATTATAAGAAAAATATTCTCCCTCTCTCTTCCCTGAGGGCGTTTCAGATACACTGCAAATACTATCGATTAGCAGGTCTGCTGCTTGGGAGAATTTGGGAGGTTGAGTAATCCAGACTGGTTAGAGGATGATGTGGATTAATGCTTCTGTCAGGCACATCACAGAGTGATTCCTGGTGCTCAATCAAATCTCCATGTGGTCCAGACAGATCTGGCATCCAAACAGGCTCAGCATCTTGCTTCTCACATAGGATGGCTAGAAGCTTCTCCCCCTCACCTCCAAAACATAAAAGCTTATTTCCAGTAATAATAATTTATGTATAATAATAATAATAATAATAATAATAATAATTTATTATTTATACCCCGCCCATCTGGCAGAGCCACTCTGGGTGGCTTCCAATCAAGTGTTAAAAACAATACAGCATTAAATATTAAAAACTTCCCTAAACAGGGCTGCCTTCAGATATCTTTTAAAAGGAAGATAGCTGCTTATTTCCTTCACATCTGAAGGGAGGGCGTTCCACAGGGCGGGTGCCACTACCAAGAAGGCCCTCGTGTCTGGTTCCCTGTAACCTCACTTCTCGCAATGAGGGAGCCACCAGAAGGCCCTTGGTGCTGGATCTCAGTGTCTGGGCTGAATGATGGAGGTGGAAAAGCTTCTTCAGGTATACAGGACCGAGGCCGTTTAGGGCTTTAAAGGTCAGCACCAACACTTTGAATTGTGCTCGGAAACGTACTGGGAGCCAATGCAGATCTCTCAGGACCAGTGTTATGTGGTCCCAGCGGCCACTCCCAGTCACCAGTCTAGCTGCCACCTTCTGGATTAATTGCAGTTTCCGGGTCACCTTCAAAGCTGGCCCCACATAGAAAGCATTGCAGTAGTCCAAGCGAGAGGTAACTAGAGAATGCACCACTCTGGCCAGACAGTCTGCGGGCAGGGAAGGTCTCATCCTGCGTACCAGATGGAGCTGGTAAACAGCTGCCCTGGACACAGAATTAACCTGCGCCTCCATGGACAGCTGTGAGTCCAGAATGACTCCCAGGCTGCGCACCTGGTCCTTCAGGGGCACAGTTACCCCATTCAGGGGTACAGAGTTCTGTACAAAATTTGGAACTGAATCAGCACTTCCTATGCATCCTTTCCATTCCTGATGCAAAAAAAAGCTATATGATTTGAAACTCAAAAATCCGAAGGGAATATTCCAAAGAAATGGGTTTCGGAAGGCTCTCGAGCTGCAACTGTTTTTAGCATGTGTGAACAATGAGCTCTGGGGGGGGGGGTTCCCCCACGCTTGCTTCCCCCCTGATAATTTAGCAGCTTAGGGTGGGTGAGCGTGTGGGAAGGGTGTTGCATTCTCATTCAGTGTCAGAAATCACCTCCCACCTCTGCTCAGGCAGGCTGCTGAATGCGTGCGATTTGCAAAACACGGCTGTGTGCACGAGAGAGTTGTGAAAGGAGAAGCATTGCAATGCTCTTCGCGGCGGGTTATCTGGAGAAAACATCCCTCTCACTTGGCACTTGAGCACCAGTCGTTCTCCTAATATCTCCTCCTAACAGTGACCAGCAGGTATCTTTCTGCAGCGACTCCGGCAAAGACGGCGACGGAGAATGTTTTCTCAATTCACAGCTGACTAGAAATTAGCACCTGCCTCGATAAGAGCAAACTGTGTTCGGTTTCCATTAGGATCCCACTGCCAGCCTGGACACCTCAGAGAGCAAAAGCTGGGCAGTAATTTCACAGTCTAAATAAGAATACACAGAGAAGGGGTAATCCTTTCTAAACACCAGGAAGGCTGGAACTTCCTGAAAACTGCATCGTACTGTAATGAGCATCCCAATCTTCCAGTGGGTGAGAATTTTCGGGCATTGCAGCCTTATAAGCGTTGTTCGGTTTCCTTTTGGGGCGAGGCAGCTGGAGGCTCGTTGCATTTTCTAATATTTCAGAACATAAGGCTGAATCAGGCCAATGGCCCATCTGTGGGATGTAACAATAAGAAGTTTACTCACATTCAGTTCACAGTTGGATCCCTGAAGGCAGGCTTTAGCTTACAGTTACAGAAGAGCAGTAAGGACACGGGTGGCGCTGTGGGTTAAACCACAGAGCCTAGGGCTTGCCAATCAGAAGGTTGGCGGTTCGAATCCCCGCAACGGGGTGAGCTCCCGTTGCTTGGTCCCTGCTCCTGCCAACCTAGCAGTTCGAAAGCACCTCAAAGTGCAAGTAGATAAATAGGTACCACTCCAGTGGGAAGGCAAATGGCATTTCCGTGCGCTGCTC